CTGTCTCTGCTGTTTCTGGAGGCGCTGCGCGGCCGCGGCCGTACTACGTTCCGCTCCTTCAGCAGGTTCTTGGCCTCCCACTTTCCACTGGTCCTCCTCCTCCCTTGCTGAGTCCACAGCTTGACCAGTCGCAGTCACAGTTACAGCCAGCCTCTCCACTGCCTGGTCCTTCTCCTTACTCTGGGCCGACTAGGGGTCTTACGGAGCGTCGTGAGCCAGAGTCTCGTCCTGCGTCACCTGAGTCTCGTCCTGCGTCTCCTGTTCGCGCTGTCCGCACTGGTCGTCGTGTTCCGCGTCAGCGTCCTCCCCCTGTCCCCGGCACACACCTGATGGCACTTCGTCCTTCCTCTGCTCCGCAGCGTGTCCCTCTGCCGTCTCCTCCTGCGTCCTCTCTTCCTGACGGTCCCGACCCGGAGTCTGACTCCCTTCGTGCTGCTAGTCCTACTCTCTTCGCCACTGTTGTCACTGACCCTTCATTTGAGTCCACTGCTGCGTCTGCTCTAGTTGCTGAGCTTGTTGACTTTGCTGCCACCTGTCGTCTAGACTACGCCGCTAGTCTTGTTGCTAAGTCTGAGTCTGAGTCTGTCTGTCCTCCGTCCGTCGGGGGTGAGTGTGCCCTTAGCACGGACGTCCTTGAGGACAGACAGGAGGAGTTTGAGTGCTTTTCCGCTGCTTTGCCTCATCTCGTGTCCATGCTGCTTGCCCCTGAGGGAGACCCGGATGCACCAGACATCCCGACCCCGCGCTCTTACGCAGAGGCGATAGAGGGTCCCTACTCCTCTCAGTGGCAGACAGCCATGGACGCAGAGATGGCTTCCTGGAAGTCCACAGGCACCTACGTCGACGAGGTTCCCCCGCCTGGGGCGAACATCGTCAGCGGCATGTGGATTTTCAGGGTGAAGCGGCCGCCGGGTTCTCCGCCTGTCTTCAAGGCGCGTTACGTTGCACGAGGCTTCAGTCAGCGAGAGGGAGTTGACTTCTTCCAGACCTTCTCCCCTACCCCGAAGATGACCACTCTTCGGGTTCTGCTGCACGTTGCCGCTCAGCGTGACTACGAGCTTCACTCTCTTGACTTCAGCACTGCTTTCCTACAGGGCAGCCTGCACGAGGAGATCTGGTTGCGCCGCCCACCTGGCTTCACTGGGTCGTTTCCTGCTGATACCCAGTGGAGCCTCCGGCGGCCAGTCTACGGTCTCCGCCAGGCGCCCCGTGAGTGGCACGACACACTGAGGACGAGTCTTGCTGCTCTTGGGTTTGCTCCTTCCACTGCTGACCCGTCGCTGTTTCTACACACCGACACCTCTCTGCCGCCGTTCTACGTTCTCGTGTACGTCGACGACTTGGTCTTTGCTACTTCTGACACTGAGGCACTCGCCCACGTGAAGTCGGAGCTGCAGAAGAGACACACGTGCACAGACCTGGGTGAGCTGACTAGCTATCTTGGCTTGCGGATCACCCGGGACAGAGCACAGCGCACCATTACATTGACTCAGTCACACATGGTGCAGCAGGTCCTTCAGCGCTTCGGCTTCACGTACTCCTCGCCACAGCACACTCCTCTGCCTACTCGCCACTCGCTCTCAGCTCCACCTTCGGACGAGTCCGTAGAGCCGAGTGGTCCGTACCCAGAGCTTGTGGGCTGCCTCATGTACCTGATGACCTGCACTCGACCTGACCTTGCCTACCCTCTTAGCATTCTGGCACGTTATGTCACTCCTGGGAGACACCGGAAGGAGCACATGGATGCCGCTAAGAGGGTGTTGCGCTACTTGTGCAGTACGTCGGGCATGGGGCTCGTGCTTGGAGGACGGACTCGAGTTGTCCTCACTGGTCACGCAGACGCTTCCTGGGCTGACGACTTGGCTACGCAGCGGTCGTCACAGGGTTACACCTTCAGTCTTGGCTCCGGCTCTGTTTCTTGGCGGTCTACCCGCTCGTCTTCTGTTCTCAGCTCCAGTTGTGAGGCTGAGATCTACGCAGGGGCCATGGCTGCACAGGAGTTACGCTGGCTCACCTACCTGCTGACCGACCTGGGAGAGCCACCTCGTTCTCCTCCAGTGATGTACGTCGACAACAAGGCCATGATTGCCTTGTGTCAGGAGCACAGACTGGAGCACAGAACGAAGCACATTGCTCTGCGCTACTTCCTTGCTCGAGAGTTGCAGCAGCGTGGTCAGCTTCGTCTTGCTTACGTGGCCACTCGGGCCAACACTGCTGATGTCTTCACCAAGGCACTTCAGCCTTGTGATCATCAGCGTTTCTGTACTGTTCTAGGCCTTGTGCCTACTGTGCCTCACTTGCTTACTTCTTGACTCTGCTTGTACTGTGATCTCTATACATATACATGCATGCTTACACTTGCTAGGTTGTGATCACTGTATTGCTTGTTCTCCTTTATATAACTCTGCATGTGAACTGGCCTTGTGGCCATTTGCTTGTGCTCAGAATGCGTGGTGACGTCGTGATCCACCCTGAGCTTGCTTTGCCTTTCTTGACTGGTCTTGTGACCACTTGTTCTCCCCCACTTTGCCTATGGGGGTGTGTCAAACTTATATTCTATAGTCTGTGTAGGCTGTAGTGGGGTAGTTCCTATGGGGTACAACATTTTAGGGTTTCCTACTTGTACTCCTCATGCTGCTCAATGCAATCATTCCTCGTTCTATTCTTCACATTTACAACATATGTACTGCACCTTACATGTTTTGGTTAGATATTCTTAAACAGTGCGCGATTACCTGGATCAATATATCCAAACCGTAACGGCTTCAGAGTGGATTTAAAATTACTGAGATGATAAGAACATGCCATCACATTCTAGCAAATAAGTATCACCGTATATCAGTAACAAATTCTACCATGTGTACACCTCAACGAGTATTTATTGCCATTTGTGTCGCAGGCGTTATGATGAGGTGTTATATTTTTAATTGGTCTTCATCCTAGCCGACGTAGCATGTCATTTCAGATATGTGCAGATGGTCTGGCACGTAAGTTTTACACCAAATAGCTATCTTCTGGATGGGTTTACAATATTAGGCTTTGCCAACCCAAACCTCGTTCTACCATTTTTGGACAGGCGGTCGTTTTGTTCATCAAGGCCTCCTCACCATGTTATTCTATCTTGTTGATTTTTTTAATTTTAGAGTGATAATGAAATACTCACATGATACAATCGATGTCCGCGGGGCAATTCATACCAAAATCCCCGCGAGATCTTTAATGTGCCAATTCGCGGGGCAGTTTAGGGTGCCTCAAGTTGCTTTGACGAGAGATTCACGGGTGGTTACCCAAACTACTCGTGGACAGGGTGAGGCGCACCACTGCCCTTTGACGGGGATTTGACGTGAGGTTACGGGGCCCGCTCGGGAATGCACACTGTCGCCGAACGTCGCCGTGACGGGGGTTTGACGGGTGGTTTAACAGTTCATCCCGAGAAACAAACGGGGAATTCGCGGACCGTTGACGAGGGATTCGTGGGTTTTTATCAGTTTACACGGGAATCTAGACGGGCACCTCACGGACCCTAAACGTGGGATATGATGGGTGTTAACTGGCACCAGAGTTTTACAATCTGCACCTATTAAAAAACCCTGCCCAAACCCATAACCCCCAAACTTATACTTGCATGTGCTCCTGTTGCGACCGTATTGCTCGCACCTCCCGCACTTGTAACCCTGGCCTCTAGCCTCCATACGCTCGTTGTTCCCTGGGCGACCAACCCTCGTTTCAATCAGGTGTGGTGCGTCACACACACATGCTTGTGCAGGAGGGGACTCACGTACCAGCCTGTCCACTCATGTTCCCCAAACGTCCGGGGCATACATCTTGCGGTGATTGCTCGTGGTGTAGTAGTGAGATACTAGAGTCTCAGGGCACCTCTTCTTCTTGACACACAGTGCCACAGCATGTGTACAAGGAAACTTGTACTCCTGCCAATTCCCACACTCACATGAACGAGTAACCAGGTTGACGTTGTAGCTCCTCCATTCCACATCGTTCTCGCCTCCACGAGTCTGGATCGTCCCAGCATCATCAGTTCCTCCCAGGAAGAAGTACTCCTGACAACGTCTGAGCTTGATCACCATTCGCTTTGCTGCTGCTGCCGTTAGATGATCGTCTCTTTGCCAAGCTTCAGCGCGACGCTCATACCACTTATCCCTAAACCAGTCCCGCAAAGACGCCAGCAGCCAAGTAGGGGGCAGCATCCTGATTTTTTTTACTGCTCCGTTGAGCGACTCCGCGGCGTTGCTCGTGTAAATCCCAAACCTGCGGGTTGTGGCAAAAAGCCTGGCCCAGTGCAATAACTGAATACCGCCTATTATGTACCGTGATCCCTGTCTGTTGCGATGGAACCCGGTCTGCACATAAATGCCCCCCTCCTCCTCGTCCTCGCCGTCACCCGCACCTGGAACTCCTTCTCCGGGCACGTCCTCCTCATCCTCGTATCCCGGTTCGTCCTCTCCAGCATGAAGGGCAGTGCCATGCACCCCGATATCCGGCCATGGGAGAGCCAGGATCTCTGTGAGGCCGGCATGCAAGTTATCATCGACATACAGCGCCGAATGGCGCCAACCTAGCTGCTCCGTGGTCTGCGGTTGCGCAGAGACTTCGTTCATGATAGTGTCTGCACGGTAACCCTCACGTGCTCTCCTGTAAATTGCACCCATGTTGAACGGTCTACCCATTCGTCCATCCGCGCCCACACCCCCAATCGGTGATCCACCACCACCACCTTCTCCGGCAAACCATCCAGCAGGTCCCGTACTTCCAGCACTGACACCCACCCTGGCACCTACACCCTCATCGTGGTCGCGTCCCCCGCTTCCAAGGCCCATGCCCACGATGCCATAACGAAAGCCACTCCCTATGCCTGTAGTGAACCCTGACCCCATGCCCACACCTTAGGCCCTCCTCCCGTGCTCATCCCCAACCCCCCCCCCCTCCCCACCCCGACTCCTGTGCCCATTCCCAACCACCCACGACCCATCCCAACTTCTGTCTCAAAACCCAACCTCCCCCCTCCCATCCCCACTCCTGCGCCCATTGCAACTTCCCCTCGCCCCATCTCTGCTCCAGTCCCCACTCCCCAACCCCTCACCAGGGAACCCTGCTCCATACCCCATTCCCAATCCCCCACCTCCCATTTCAAGACCAGTCCCCATGCCCATCCCTCCCACTCCTGCTCCATATCCCACCCCGCGGCCAACACCTGGAAACCTGGCTGAAGTACCCACACCCATGCCCAGCCCTCCGAATGCGGCTCCAGATCCCATACCCAGGCCAAAGCCACCCATGCCTTTTGCAGTCCCCGCCCCCATGCCCACCCCTCCCATTCCTGCTCCAGATCCCAACCCGCGGCCAACACCTGAAAACCTGGCTGCAGTACCCACACCCATGCCCAGTCCTCCGAATGCGGCTCCATATCCCATACCCAGGCCAAAGCCACCCATGCCTTCTGCAGTCCCCGCCCCCATGCCCACCCCTCCCACTCCTGCTCCAGATCCCACCCTGCGGCCAACACCTGAAAACCTGGCTGCAATACCCACACCCATGCCCAGCCCTCCGAATGCGGCTCCAGATCCCATACCCAGGCCAAAGCCACCCATGCCTTCTGTAGTCCCCGCCCCCTTGCCCACCCCTCCCATTCCTGCTCCAGATCCCAACCCGCGGCCAACACCTCAAAACCTGGCTGCAGTATCCACACCCATGCCCAGTCCTCCGAATGCGGCTCCAGATCCCATACCCAGGCCAAAGCCACCCATGCCTTCTGCAGTCCCCGCCCCCATGCCCACCCCTCCCACTCCTGCTCCAGATCCCACCCTGCGGCCAACACCTGAAAACCTGGCTGCAGTACCCACACCCATGCCCAGCCCTCCGAATGCGGCTCCAGATCCCATACCCAGGCCAAAGCCACCCATGCCTTCTGCAGTCCCCGCCCCCATGCCCACCCCTCCCACTCCTGCTCCAGATCCCAACCCACGGCCAACACCCACACCCATGCCCAGCCCACCAGATCCCGCTAGAGCACCCATACCCAGGCCAAAGCCCCCCATTCCTGCTGCAGTCCCCACACCCATTCCAACACCTCCCATAACTCCTCCAGATCCTGTCCCACGGCCCGCACGTCTCATCCCTGTTCCACCCCCTCCCCCTCCCACTCCATACTCATGCCGCGCCCCTAACCCTCCAAACATTTCACCAGCCCCCTGTCCGGTGCTTGCGCCCTCCATTCGCGTCCCATTACCAACCCCAGCGAATCCAGCAAGAGACCCCCGCCCCAAGCTGGCACCTCCTGGTCCCATTCCGAACCCCCCTAAACCGACTCCGGCTCCCATTCCCATGCCCACCCCTCCGACTCCAGCCGTACTCTCCTGCATTCCCAACCCAACGCCGCCGGGAGCCAAACCGTCGATGCCAGTGCCTCCCAGCTCATTCTCCCCATGGCGCTGTCCGCTAGAATACGGCATCCCAACCCCTGCAATGGGGCCTCCATCACCGCCACCATGCGCGCTGCTACTACCACCGACACCCTGTCCACTCTCCAACCCGAACCGTGTTCTTGTTGCAGCAGACCTTGAGCCCCCTTCACTCCGGCCATTGCCAAAGCCTCTGCTGCCATTTGGCCCAAACATCCCGAACCATGTCCCACTTCCGACACCCAAACCAGCCCCTCCAAACTGAAAAGCGCCTGTGCCAGGCGTGCCGCGCGTACGTGCTCCACCCCATGTACCACTGGGAGCATCATCCCCAGACGAATCACTCTCTGAGCCACCTTGAACCCCCGTGCTGCCGGCCCCTCCTCTAAAGGTCCGTCCAAAGACGTGAGCGTTGGGAGCATTGATGCCACCCCTCCCTGCCATTCCGCCACCAGCCCGGTTGAACCGGGATGTGCCGACATCCGGGACGCCCATGCCACTTTGCGGCTGATTGGGGCTGCTAAACCCACCAGCTGGAGGTCCGTGGCGAACGTTTCTGGCCTCTCGTCGTCCTTGGCGGCCAACTTAAAAAACGTATGCTCTCGTACCTTCGTACGTTGAACGCGCCTATGGGGGGGGGCTGAGCATCAGACGGTGGGGGGACGCTCTGTGCGGGTGGTTACTCTGGGCCAAAAAGGTACAGTGCCATTTCCGGGAAGAGGTGTCTGCATGCCAAAACCAGGGCGACCCACTTTATCAAGCTCCGTCACTTCACCAACCTCCAGAAGTATTTCTGAGCCGCTTCTTTGAATCGCCTCAGATTCTGCTCGAGATGCCATGCGCATAAGTAATGAGGGATGTGACTTGGCATCACCTCTCGAGCTGCGGGAACCAATCCCTTATCCCGGTCGCTGATGATCGAGGGTGCTTCCGCTGCGTCCACTCAGGAAACCCATCAATGAAGTGCTTCAAAAACCACGTCCAGGACTCCTTGTTCTCCGACTCCACCAACCCCCATGCCAGCAGTAAGACTTTCTTGTTCCCATCGAGCGTAACCGCGACAAGCAGTACTGCCTTCTGCACACTAATGAGGTGGGTCCCGTCAAATGCAACGACTGGACGGCAGAATCTGAGCGCATGCCGGGCAGCAGAAGGCCGGACAAAAAAAAGGTGAAATAGTCCACCAAGGGTATCGAGATGCACCTTCACCTCCGGGTCAATCACCTTGAAACGGTCGACTAGCAGTGGCACCTGCCGGAAGGACTCCTTCCAATCCCCGAACATCTCCTTGATGATGTGTTCTCTCGGGCGCCATGCTTGCCAGTAATGGAATCCGACCCCCCCTTTACCCTCCATGAGTTTCATCAGCTGAATGGGTGCAATGAAGGGCTCGGCGCGCACCATGTTGCCATACGCTCGCAGTAACACTGGTAGCTTGTTAGCGATTGCTAAGGCGTACTCGTACCGCGCCGGTGCCGGGCAGTTATGGGTCTCCGGCGGGGCGAGGGTCGTAATGCTCTGACCACTGTGTCCCCTCAGGTAGCTGCGTCTGCGTCTGCGTTTGCGTCAGGACAGCTAGCGGCCCCTTGCTCGTGTCGCGCTTTGTCGCACCAGACCCTCCTTTGGCACCACCGCCTTGGTCACCCCTCGGTGCAGCGCCTTCGTAGCATGCACCGCCGTTTCCTTGTCTCTGGACTTCCAGAGACTCTGCCTCCTCTACCACCCTCGCCTGCTCCTCCCTGTCTTCCCTGTGTCGAGGGGCGGCAGCGCGCCGCTCCTCACTCCTCCTCGTTCCCTCCCACAGAGGCTCCCTTGCAGACTCTCCACCTGGACGTGTGGGGCCCAGCCCGCGTCCGTGGACAGGGCCACGAGCGGTACTTCCTGCTGGTCGTCGACGACTACACGCGTTACACCACGGTCTTCCCCTTGCGCAGCAAGGGGGAGGTCCCTGATGTTTTGATCCCCTGGATCCGCGCGGTTCGTCTCCAGCTCCGCGAGCGGTTCCAGTCGGACTTTCCTGTCCTGCGTCTGCACTCTGACAGAGGTGGTGAGTTCTCCTCAGACCTCTTGGCAGCCTTCTGTGCGGAGCACGGCATCCGCCAGACGTTCACGCTTCCGGCCTCTCCGCAGCAGAATGGGGTTGCTGAGCGCCGCATTGGCTTAGTCATGGAGGTCGCTCGTACCTCCATGATCCATGCGGCTACCCCCCATTTTCTGTGGCCGTTTGCGGTCCGGTACGCCGCGCATCAGCTCAACCTCTGGCCCCGTGTCTCCTTGCCGGAGACCTCGCCCACACTGCTGTGGACGGGGAAGGTTGGCGATGCGTCGCGTTTCCGGGTCTGGGGTGCTCGTGCCTTTGTCCGCGATACCACCGCGGACAAGATCTCCGCCCGCGCTGTTCCCTGTGTCTTCCTTGGCTTTGTCCCTGACGCACCTGGTTGGCAGTTTTACCACCCCACCTCGCGCCGTGTCTTCCCCTCTCAGGACGTCACGTTCGACGAGTCGGTTCCCTTTTACCGTCTCTTCCCCTACCGCACTGCCCCTCTCCCCCCCCCGCCGCTCTTCCTCGCTCCATGTGCTCCCCAGGTAGACCCCCTCCCCGCTCCCGGTCCTGCTCCTTCAGGTGTGTCTCAGGTAGACCCTCCTCCCTTGACTGAGCCAGTTGAGGTCACTGGTGACTCAGGTCCTGCTAAGGGTGGTCCTGCTCGGGGTGCTGCTGCTGGGGGTGCTGAGCCTGGGGGTGCGGAGCCTTGGGGTGCTGAGCCTGGGGGTGCGGAGCCTGGAGGTGCGGAGCCTGGGGGTGCGGAGCCTGGGGGTGCGGAGACTGGAGGTGCTGAGCCTGGGTGTGAGGAGTCTGGGGGTGCTGAGCCTGGGGGTACTGAGTATGGGGGTGCTGCACCTGGGGGCGCTGAGGCGTCTGGTGAGCAGTCTCCCTGGAGCGGCCGTCTCCGTATTTGCTCCGCTGGTGCCTCGCCACTGCACTCTCGTCGTCGACTCCCTCTCTCCCCACAGCAGCTGCTTGAGTGGTACGTTGACCGTCAGGGTCGCGCTGCTGGAGCTAGGGGCCCTGCTGCGGGAGGCGCTGGAGCTGGTGACTTTGCTACCGGAGTTGTTTCTGCTGGAGGTTCTGGAGCTGCTGAGGCTGCTGGAGCTGGAGGTTCTGGAGCTGCTGGAGGTGCTGGCGCTGGTGGCGCTGGAGCTGGAGGTTCTGGAGCTGCTGAAGGTGCTGGCACTGGAGGTTCTGGAGCTGCTGCGGGTGCTGGCGCTGAGGGTTCTGAGTCTGCTGTTACGCGGTCTCCTTGGAGTAGCCGCCTTCGTCCGCGTGTGCCTCTCACCTCACAGCAGCTGCACGACTGGTACGGTCGCCGTCAGGGTCGCGCTTCTGGAGCTCGGGGCTCTGCCGCTGGAGGTACTTCTGCAACCGTCACTGGAGCTGGGAGTGGTGCTGGTCCCGGAGGTGCTCGTACTGGACGTACTGGAGCTGCTGGGGCTGGAGGTGCTGAGCCTGAGGGTGCTACTGCTGGAGACCCTGGGTCTGGGGGTGCTGCTACTGGAGACACGGAGGCTGTAGACCCTGGGACTGGAGGTGCCGGTTCTGGTGGAGCTGGTCCTGCAGGAGCTGGCGCTGAGGGTTCTGGAGCTACTGGAGGTGCTGGAGCTGCTGGGGGTACTGGAGCTGCTGGTGCAGGTGTCACTGCACAGCCGCTCCTGTTCTTCGCTCCACCGTCTCCGTCGTCTCAGCCACCGCCTGACTCTGTGCTTCGCCAGGTTCTTAGTCTCCCTTCGTCTACTGGTCTTCCGTTACTGCCTGGCTCACCGCTGCCTGCTCCTTCTCGTTACACTGAGCAGACAGGGGGTCTTACTGAGCGTCGTGAGCCTGCGTCGCGTCCTGTCTCGCCTGTCCGTTCTGGTTGGTCCGGTCGTCGTGTTCCTCGTCCGCGTCAGCCCGACCTCGTAGTCCGTCGTCCTTCCTCTCCTTCGCAGCGTGTTCCTCTGCCGTCTCCTCCTGCGTCTTCTCTGCCTGTCGTTGCGGACCCTGAGTCTGACCGGTTTCGTGCTGAGCACCCTACTAGCTACTAGCCACTGTTGTCACTGACCCGTCGTTTGAATCTGCTGCTGCGTCTGCCTTAGTCGTTGAGCTTGTTGACTTTGCTGCTGCCTGTCGTCTAGACTACGCCGCTAGTCTTGTTGCTGAATCTGAGTCTGTCTGTCCTCCGTCCGTCGGGGGTGAGTGTGCTCTTGGCACGGACGTCCTTGAGGACAGGCAGGAGGACCTTGAGTGTCTTGCAGCCGCTGCGCCTCATCTCGTGTCCATGCTGCTTGCCCCTGAGGGAGACCCGGATGCTCCAGACATCCCGACCCCGCGCTCTTACGCTGAGGCGATAGCGGGTGAGTACTCCTCTCAGTGGCAGACAGCCATGGACGCAGAGATGGCATCCTGGAAGTCCACAGGCACTTACGTCGACGAGGTTCCCCCACCTGGGGCGAACATCGTCAGTGGCATGTGGATTTTCAGGGTGAAGCGACCGCCGGGTTCTCCGCCTGTCTTCAAGGCGCGTTACGTTGCACGAGGTTTCAGTCAGCGAGAGGGAGTAGACTTCTTCCAGACCTTCTCCCCCACCCCGAAGATGACCACTCTTCGGGTGCTGTTGCACGTTGCCGCTCAGCGTGACTACGAGCTTCACTCTCTTGACTTCAGCACAGCCTTCTTACAGGGCAGCCTGCACGAGGAGATCTGGCTGCGCCGCCCACCTGGCTTCACTGGGTCGTTCCCTCCTGGCACCCAGTGGAGCCTCCGGCGGCCGGTCTACGGTCTCCGCCAGGCGCCACGTGAGTGGCACGACACACTGAGGACGACACTTGCGGCTCTTGGGTTTGCTCCGTCGACTGCTGACCCGTCGCTGTTTCTGCGTACCGACACTTCGCTGCCGCCGTTCTACATCCTCGTGTACGTTGACGACTTGGTCTTTGCCACTGCTGACACTGAGGTGGTGAAGTCGGAGCTGCAGAAGAGACACACGTGCACAGACCTGGGTGAGCTGCGCAGTTACCTTGGCTTGCAGATCACCCGGGACAGAGCACGCCGCACCATCACACTGACTCAGTCACACATGGTGCAGCAGGTCCTTCAACGCTTCGGCTTCACCTGGTCCTCGGCACAGGCCACTCCTCTGGCTACAGGTCACTCGCTCTCAGCTCCACCTTCGGACGAGTCCGTAGAGCCGAGTGGTCCTTACCCAGAGCTAGTGGGCTGCCTCATGTACCTGATGACCTGCACTCGTCCTGACCTTGCGTACCCTCTTGGCCTTCTGGCTCGCTACGTGGCTCCTGGTCGGCACCGAAATGTGCACATGGATGCTGCTAAGAGGGTACTGCGCTACTTGTGCAGTATATCGGGCATGGGGCTCGTGCTTGGAGGACGGGGCGACGTTGTCCTCACTGGGCACTCGGACGCTTCTTGGGTTGACGACCAGGCTACGCAGCGGTCGTCACAGGGTTACACCTTCAGCCTTGGCTCTGGTCCGGTTTCTTGGCGTTCTACACGCTCGTCTTCAGTTCTCAGCTCCGGTTGGGAGGCTGAGGTCTACGCCACAGCCATGGCTGCACAGGAGTTACGCTGGCTCACCTACCTGCTGACCGACTTGGGAGAGCGGCCACGTTCTCCTCCAGTGCTGTACGTAGACAACAAGGCCGCCATTGCCTTGTGTCAGGAGCACAGACTGGAGCACAGAACGAAGCACATCGCTCTGCGTTACTTCCTGGCTCGAGAGTTGCAGCAGCGTGGTCAGCTTCGTCTTGCTCACGTGGCCACTCGGGCCAACATGGCTGATATATTCACCAAGGCGCTTCCGTTTGGTGATCATCAGCGTTTCTGCACTCTGTTAGGCCTTGTGCCCACGTTTCCTCACTTGCTGTAGACTTTGCTTGTACTGTGATCTATATATATACCTGCATGCTTGCTCTGCTAGGTAGAGATCACTGTGCTGTTGTTTTTTGCATATATACCTTTGCATGTGAACTGGCCTTGTGGCCCTTTGCTTGTGCTCAGTGTGTGTGGTGACGTTGTGATCCACCCTGAGCTTGCTTTGCTTCTCTTGACTGGTCTTGTGACCCCTTGCTCTCCCCCACTTTGCCTATGGGGGTGTGTCAAAGTATATGCATGTTACCTATGTGTAGGCTGTAATGGGGTAGCCAATATGGGGTACAGCCCCTTTTAGGGTTTCATACTTGTACCCAACTCTTTCATAGTTCATTCATTCCTGCTGCTAGATTCTGACAAGAGAGAGAGAGAGAGAGAGAGAGAGAGAGAGAGAGAGAGAGAGAGAGAGAGAGAGAGAGAGAGAGAGAGAGAGAGAGAGAGAGTGAGAGAGAGAGAGAGAGGGAGAGAGAGAGAGAGAGAGGGAGAGAGAGAGAGAGAGAGGGAGAGAGAGAGAGAGAGAGAGAGAGAGAGAGAGAGAGAGAGAGAGAGAGAGAGAGAGAGAGAGAGAGAAGGATTGGAGGGGAGGGGGAATCCACAAACACTTGTCTTGAGTCTTGCAACCTCCGCTTAAAGCTCCACTGTGTATGCCTGGTGGGAGGAAGTGAGGGGGGAGAGGGAGAGAGAGGGAGAGTGAGATAGAGCTAGGCTTTGTCAAGTAGGAACTTACCTGCATGTATGCCAATTCCTGCGTATCATTGTATACAATGATTGCATGTATACAACAGACAGTTTGAGAGAAGGAGAGGGGGCTTGTCATCTCGCCTCTTCTTGCTTCTCTCTCTCTTACTCTCTCTCTTTCTTGCCTGTAACTCCTCTCTCTCGCACGTACCTGCTTCCTCGCTCGGGACCTTGTCAAACTATATGTTTGTGTTCTCTCTAGGCTATAGTGGGTTAGCCTACAAGGGGTACAACACTTTAGGGTTAGTACTTGTACCCAACTCATTCATAGTTCATTCATTCCTGCACAGTGATCTGACATGGTATTCAGAGCAGGAAACCTGTGAAGTTTTTAGGGCCCACCGATCGTTTTGCTAGTTCCTGCCCGAAGCGCCCTTGCGCTGTCCGGCCCTCTCGCACAGTGTCACGCTGCCCTGCAGCTACTCGCACTGCCTGCCCTAGCGTGCTGCCCTACTGTCACGCGTGCCCCTGCTGCCCGAGAGAAGCCCCTGCCCCGCGCGCCCCTGCTGCCCGCGTGCAGCCCCTGCCCCGCGCGCCCCTGCTGCTTGCGAGCAGCCCCTGCCCCGCGCGCCACTGCTGCCTGTGAGCAGCCCCTGCCCCGAGCGCCCCTGCTGCCCGCGAGCAGCCCCTGCCCTGCGCGCCCCTTCTGCCCGCGAGCAGCTCCTGCCCCAGCACGCCCCGTCTGCAGGGTTGCGTCTGCAGGGTTCGCGCCCTACTGCCCTGCACGTCGCGCCCTGCTGCAGCCCGCGCGTCGCGCTCTGCTGCAGCCCGCGCGTCGCGCTCTGCTGCTCCGCGCGTCGCGCCCTGCTGCAGCCCGCACGTCGCGCCCTGCTGCCCTGCGCGTCGCGCCCTGCTGCAGCCCGCGCGTCGCGCCCTGCTGCAGCCCGCGCGTCGCGCTCTGCTGCCTCGCGCGTCGCGCCCTGCAGCAGCCCGCACGTCACGCCCTGCTACCCTGCGCGTCGCGCCCTGCTGCAGCCCGCGCGTCGCGCCCTACTGCAGCCCGCGCGTCGTGCTCTGCTGCCTCGCGCGTCGCGCCCTGCTGCAGCCAGCGGGTCGCGCCCTGCTGCCCCGCGCGTCGCGCCCTGCTGCAGCCCGCGCGTCGCGCCCTGCTGCCCTGCACAGCGCGCACCCTGCTGCCCGCGCCGCCCAGGCCAAACCGCGCCGCCCAGCCCGAGCCGCCCTGCTGCTACTACTATTGCTGCTGCTGCTCGTTCTACTGCTGCTGCTGGTGGAGGTGCTGCTGGGAGTGCTGGAGGTGCCGCCGCCCAGCCCCACCGAGCCGCCCTGCTGCTACTACTGCTGCTGCTGCTGCTCGTGCTACTGCTGCTGCTGGTGGAGGTGCTGCTGGGAGTGCTGGAGGTGCTGCTGGTGCTGGAGGTGCTGGAGGTGCGGCTGGGAATACTAGAGATGCTACTGGTGCTGGAGGTTCTGGACCTACTACTGACCGTCACTGCCTGTCATGGCCATTATCGCGGCAGTTGCAGCGGCTAGGGGTGGACAGCAGCGGTTACTACCTCTCCCGGACGACCCCACCCCTCAGCAGCTTCGTGAGTGGGTTATTCAGCGAGGCCGTCCTGGTGGTGGAGGTTTTGGTTTTATGTGGCCTCAGCGACCTCGCGACTGTGCTTCTCAGCGATGCGTCCCTGGTTGTGTAGAGGTGGCTGCTCTCGGTTCTAGTGAGTCTGCTGCCGCTCCAGGTGCTGGTGAGTCTGCTGCAGCTCTAGGTGCCCGTGAGTCTGCCGACGCTCTAGGTGCTAGTGCGTCTACTGCCACATGTCCTGCCTCAGCTGAGGCCTTGCACACTTTCACGCTTGACTCAGGTGCGTCACGTTGCTTCTTTCGTGATTGCACCACAGTCACACCACTCGGAGCACCTGTCCCAGTCTCACTGGCTGACCCCACTGGGGGCCCAGTAGTTGCGCGAGCCTCCACTGTCCTCCCGTGTCCGGCAGTCCCCTCCGGGTCTCTCTCAGGTCTCCACCTCCCCGCGTTCTCGACGAACTTGTTGAGCAACGCAGTTCTCCAGGATGAATGGGTTGACACCTTCATTCATGGAGGACAGCGTGTGGCGATCTGTAAGTGCTCATGGACTGGCCGTCACCTTGCTACGTTCACTCGTCAGCCTGGGTCCGGTCTGTACACCCTGACCACTGCGTCTGCACAGGTGGCTGAGTCAGGTCAGGTGGCTGCGTCGAGTCGGGTGTCTGCGTCTGGTCAGCTTGCAGCGTCTTGCTCGTGTCGGGTACTCTCTCACCAGACTCTCCTATGGCACCACCGCCTAGGTCACCCCTCGTTGCCGCGTCTCCGCAGCATGCACTCCTGTCTCCTTGTCTCTGGCCTTCCCAGGTCCCTGCCCTCCCTCCCGCGCTCGCCTGCACCGCCGTGCCTTCCCTGCGTCGAGGGGCGGCAGCGCGCTGCTCCTCACTCCTCCGAGTTTCCTCCGACCACTGCTCCTCTGCAGACTCTCCACATGGACGTGTGGGGCCCGGCCCCCGTCGGTGGAACGGACCAGGAGCGCTACTTCCTGCTGGTTGTTGACGACTACACACGCTACACCACTGTCTTCCCCTTGCGGCGCAATGCGGACGTCAGCGGTCTTTTGATCCCCTGGATCCGTGCTACTCGTCGCCAGCTGCGCGAGCGGTTTCGTCGGGACTTGCCAGTCCTGCGTCTGCACTCTGACAGGGGCGGTGAGTTCTCTTCTGGCCTCCTTGAGGAGTTCTGTTGAGACGAGGGCATCCGCCAGACGTTCACGCTTCCGGCCTCTCCTCAGCAGAATGGGATTGCTGAGCGTCGCATTAGCTTGATCATGGAGGTTGCTCGTACCTCCATGATCCATGCGGCTGCTCCCCATTTTCTGTGGCCGTTTGCGGTCCGATACGCTGCGCATCAGCTCAACCTCTGGCCCCGTGTCTCTGAGCCAGAGACCTCGCCCACACTCCGGTGGACGGGGAAGGTTGGCGATGCGTCGGTGTTTCGGGTCTGGGGCGCGCTCTCCCTTGTTCGCGATGCCAAAGCGAGCAAGCTCTCCTCTCGCACTCTCCGCTGCATCTTCCTTGGTTTCCCCACCGACGCCCCGCCGTGGCAGTTCTACCACACGCGCTCGCGTCGAGTCTTCTCCTCCCAGGATGTCACCTTTGACGAGTCTGTCTGTTTATACAGGCTACACCCGCACGCGTCCCACCCGGTCCCCCTCGCGCCTCTTTTCTTGGTACCAGTCCCCCCCCCCGGTAGACCCCCTCCCCCCACAGGGTCCTGCTCCCTCAGGTGTGTCTCAAGTAGACCCACCCCCCTTGGTTGAGCCTTTGGAGATCTCTTCTGACTCCTCTGGCCCAGCTGAGGGGGGTGACCCCGCCGCTGACGACACGGCGGCCACTCGCCGCTCTCCACGCTTGGAGACCCCCCCTGGTTTTCCGCCTCGGCCGTCTTCGCCGCCTCCGCGGCCTGCTGCTGTGGACTCTGGAGCTGAGACTGCTGGTGCTGAGCCTGGGGGTGCTGAGACAGAGGGTGAGGGTTCTGGGGGTGCTGCGACTGGGGGTGCTGTGACTAGGGGTGCTGGTTCTGGGGGTGCTGCGACTGGGGGTGCTGCGAGTCCTAGTGGCGGTGGAGCTGTGGGTGACCCTGCTGGAGGTCCTGGAGCTGGACAGCCACCACAGCCTGATCAACTTGAGACGCTCTCACCGCAGGCGATTCGTGCGTGGATCGTTCGGCGAGGCAGTCCTGGTGGTGGAGGGTACGGTCCTGCTGGTGCTGGAGCTGCTTGTCCTGGAGGTACTGCTGGTGCTGGAGGTGCTGGAGGTACTGCTGGAGGTACTGGAGGTGCTGCTGGTGCTGGAGGTACTGGAGCTGCTAGTCCTGGAGGTACTGGAGGTGCTACTGGTGCTGGAGGTACTGGAGCTGCTGCTGGTGCTGGAGGTACTGGAGATGCTAGTGCTCGAGGTGCTGCTGGTGCTGGAGGTGCTGGAGGTACTGGAGGTGCTGGAGGTGCTGCTGGTGCTGGAGGTACTGGAGATGCTCGTGCTGGAGGTGCTGCTGGTGCTGGAGGTGCTGGAGGTGCTGGAGCTGCTAGTGCTGGAGGTGCTGCTGGTGCTGGAGGTGCTAGAGATACCTCTGCTGGAGGTGCTGGAGCTGGACAGCCACCGCAGCCCGATCTACTTGAGACGCTCTCGCCACAGGCGATTCGTGCGTGGATCGTTCGGCGAGGCAGTCCTGGTGGTGGAGGGTACGGTCCTGCTGGTGCAAGAGCTACTCGTCCTAGAGGTACTGCTGGTGCTGGAGGTGCTGGAGGTACTGCTGGAGGTGCTGCTGGTGCTGGAGGTACTAGAGGTGCTGCTGGTGCTGGAGGTACTGGAGCTGCTGCTGGTGCTGGAGGTACTGGAGTTGCTAGTGCTGGAGGTGCTGCTGGTGCTGGAGGTGCTGGAGGTACTGGAGGTGCTGGAGGTGCTGCTGGTGCTGGAGGTACTGGAGCTGCTAGTGCTGGAGGTGCTGCTGGTGGTGGAGGTGCTGGAGGTGCTGGAGCTGCTAGTGCTGGAGGTGCTGGAGGTGCTGGAGCTACCACTGCTGGAGGTGCTGGAGCTGCTAGTGCTAGAGGTACTGCTGGTACTGGAGGTGCTGGATCTGCTGGTGCGCTTCGCCACCTTCTCGGTCTTCCGCCAGCTCCTACTGAGTTCCCAGTCGCTGTTACTACTCCTCCGTTACTGTTCCCACACCTACTGCCTCACTCCCCACTGCGTGCTCCTGCTCCTTACACTGCTGTGACAGAGTCCCTGACTGAGCGTCGAGAGCCTGAGACTCGTGCTTCCACTCCTGAGCGTTGAGAGCCTGAGACTAGAGCTTCCGTTCCTGCTCGTGTTCGTCGTGTGCGTCGTCCTCATGCTCCGGCTGTCCCAGGCACTCACGATATGACACTCCGTCCTTCCTCTGTTCCACAGCGTGTTGTCCTACCGTCACCTCCTGCGTCTTCTCTTCCTGACATTGCTGACCCTCCGTCTGGCCTTGCTCGTGCTTCCAGTCCGACTGTCACTCGCTTGCTTGCTACAGTTGTGATGGACCCTACGTTCTCGTCTCCTGCTGCGTCGGCCTTAGTCGCTGAGCTAGTTGACTTTGCTGCTGCGCACCGCCTAGACTACCTTGCGAGTCTTGTTTCTGACCCTGACCCTGCCTGTCCTCCGTCCGTTGGGGGTGAGGTTGCCCTTGGCTGTGACGTTCTTGAGGACAGACAGGAGGAGCTGGAGTGTCTTGCGGCCGCTGCACCTCATCTCGTGACCATGCTGCTTGCCCCTGAGGGAGACCCGGATGCACTTGACATCCCCACCCCGCGCTCTTACAGAGAGGTGATCTCGGGTGAGATGGCTTCATGGAAGTCCACAGGCACCTACGTCGACGAGGTTCCCCCACCTGGGGCGAACATCGTCAGTGGCATGTGGATTTTCAGGGTGAAGCGGCCGCCGGGTTCTCCGACTGCCTTCAAGGCACGTTACGTTGCTCGAGGCTTCAGTCATCGTGAGGGGGTCGACTTCTTTCAGACCTTCTCCCCCACCCCGAAGATGACCACTCTTCGGGTGTTGCTACACGTTGCAGCTCAGCGTGACTACGAGCTGCACTCCCTCGACTTCTCGACAGCTTTCTTGCAGGGTAGCCTTCACGAGGCCATCTGTCTGCGCCGTCCACAGGCCTTCACTGGGTCGTTTCCTGAGGGTACCCAGTGGAGCCTACGGCGACCAGTGTACGGCCTGCGTCAGGCGCCCCGCGAGTGGCACGACACACTGAGGACGACACTTGCGGCTCTTGGTTTTGCTCCCTCGACAGCTGACCCATCGCTGTTTCTGCGCACTGACACTACCCTGCCGGCGTTCTATATCCTTGTGTACGTTGACGACTTGGTCTTTGCTACTGCTGACACTGAGGCACTGGCCCTAGTGAAGGCGGAGCTGCAGGAGAGACACACCTGCATTGACCTGGGTGAGCTGCGGAGCTATCTTGGCTTGCAGATCACCCGGGACAGAGCACGGCGCACCATCACCCTGACTCAGTCACACATGGTGCACCAGGTCCTTCAGCGCTTCGGCTTCCAGTACTCCTCGCCACAGCCCACTCCTCTGTCTACCGGTCACTCGTTCTTAGCTCCACCTTCGGACGAGTCCGTAGAGCCGAGTGGTCCGTACCCAGAGCTTGTGGGTTGCCTCATGTATCTGATGACGTGCACACGACCTGACCTCGCGTACCCTCTCAGCCTCCTGGCTCGCTACGTGGCTCCCGGTAGACACCGAAAGGTGCACTGGGACGCTGCGAAGAGGGTACTGCGTTACTTGTGCAGTACATCGGGCATGGGGCTCGTGCTTGGAGGACGGGGTTCAGTGGTACTGACAGGACACGCAGACGCTTCTTGGGCCGACGACCAGGCGACTCAGCGTTCGTCACAGGGTTACACCTTCAGTCTTGGCTCTGGTTCTGTCTCGTGGAGGTCCACTTGTTCTTCTTCTGTGCTTGGCTCCAGTTGCGAGGCCGAGATCTACGCTGGGGCCATGGCTGCACAGGAGCTACGCTGGCTGACCTACCTGCTGACCGACTTGGGGGAGCGGCCACGTTCTCCTCCAGTTCTGTACGTCGACAACAAGGCAATGCTTGCCTTGTGTCGCGAGCAGAGACCGGAGCACAGAACGAAGCACATTGCTCTTCGCTACTTCCTTGCGCATGAGCTGCAGCAGCGTGGTCAGTTGCGCCTTGCTTACGTGGCCTCTCGGTCCAACACTGCTGATGTGTTCACCAAGGCCCTTGGGTCTGGTGATCATCAGCGTTTCTGCACTGCTCTTGGGCTTGTGCCCACTCTGCCTCACCTGCTGGTTGCTTGACTTGCTCTTGTTGTACACTGATATCTATCTTTATACCTGCTTGTTTACTCTTGCTAGGTTGTGATCAGTGTACTGCCTTGCTATTATAACTCTGCATGTGAACTGGCCTTGTGGCCGCTTGCTTGTGCTCAGATTGTGTGGTCCTTGAGATCCACCCTGAGCTTTGCTTTGCTTGTTCTCTTGCTTGACTGGTCTTGTGACCGTATGTTGTGTTTGCTCTCTCCCACTTAGCCTATGGGGGTGTGTCAACCTACATGTTTGTGTTCTCTCTAGGCTATAGTGGGTTAGCCTACAAGGGGTACAACACTTTAGGGTTAGTACTTGTACCCAACTCATTCATAGTTCATTCATTACTGCACAGTGATTCTGAGAGACCTAGCAGCAGATTCTCGGTTCTTGATCATCCTCTGCTGCCGTCGCTCCACAACATCCCCTCCCGCCCCTCCCCCTCCTCCCGCCCCTCCCGCCCCTCCCACCAATTCCGTCCCTTCTCCAACCCATATCGTTCCACCAGTATTCTCCATTGCCCCCATCCCCATTCCACCCTGCACTGCCAACCCGCCCTCCTCCTCCATCCTCTCCCACGTCCACTTCATACCCCCCCGCAACCTCACGCCTTGCCCACTCGCACCATCTCCTCCTACTTCTCCTCCTCCTATCCCTCCTCCTCCTATCCCTCCTCCTCCACCGCTTCTCCGTCTATCTGTCCCCCGCGTGAAAACCGCAGCAGAGGGGACGATTGAGCGCTTCAAGGCACGCTGGGTCGTACGCGGTTACGACCAGAGGCACGTCATCGATTTCGATCAGACGTTTGCTCCGGTCAGCCGTCACACTTCCGTCAGGATCCTGCTCGCCATTGCTGCTGCAAGGCACCTACCCCTCTGTCAGATCGACGTGAAAAATGCATTCCATTATGCGTTGGTAGATGCAGTAAACTTCGTGGAGAAGCCGCACACCTACGGCGAAGGGGACCCACGCGTCTGCCAGCTGAAGAAGTCGCTTTACGGGATAAAGCAAGCACCACGCCTCTGGCAGCAGCACCTGCACAAAATCCTACTTGAGATAGGATTCCAGCAGCTGCCGCACGACCCGGGCATGTATCGCCTCCATTTCTGCGGCAACTACATTGTGCTCACGGTGTACGTCGACGACCTGCTCTACACAGGAACAAGCAGCACCCTGCTCGACCAGTTTGAGAAGAACCTGGCGATGCGCGTTGACATCACCATCAACCATGACGTGAAGCAGTTTCTGGGGCTCAACATCACTTACTCGCCAGAAGCAATCCACCTCTCAGCTGCTAAGTATGCTAAAACTCTAGAGAAGAGGTTCAACATCTCCCCTGCACCGCTCTCAACTCCCTATCGCACGTCTGGACCGAACCACAAACCCGACAACAAAGCCCTGTCCCCCGCTGGTTTCCACACTTACCAGCAGCAGCTGGGTTGTCTGCTCTTCCCCCGCGTCACGTGCAGGCCCAATCTCTCGTACATCGCGAGCCAGCTGGCTCAGTACTCCCGCAAACCAACGGCTGAAATCCTCCTAGACCTTCAGCGCGCTCTGCAATTCTTCATCTCCACGCCCAACATTGGGCTCTGCTACTCCACAGTCACCACCCCATCCTTCAACCTCATCGGCTACGTGGACGCCGATCACGCCGCTGATCTCGACAATCGACGGTCCATGACAGGGTTCCTGTTTCGCCTCGAGCCAACAGGGCCCATCTCCTGGAACTCGCAGAAGCATGAACTGGTTGCCCTGTCACCAGCTGAAGCATAATTCATCGCCGCAACAGCAGCGGTTCGCGAAGGGCTTTATCTACATGAGCTCCTGCAGGAGGCAAAAATCCCAACTTCGCCCACCTTCCGCCTGCACTGCGACAACCAGAGCGCGATCAGGATCGTTAACAAGCCAGGATTCGTCAACCGCACCAAACACATTGCGCTGCGATACTTCTTCCTCAAGGACGAAGTTGACAAAGGCAAGGTTGATTTGACCTACTGCCCTACGGGTGACATGGCAGCCGACTTCCTCACGAAGCGACGACTGTCACGTCAGCAATACCAGCACTGCTCCGAACTCAGCAAACGGGTCAAGACCTACTACGGCCAGGAGTGAAGGGGGATGTTACGAATGGCAAAATATGAAGTGTCACTGTGCACTCCTGACAGAAGCAATCATGTCACACAACAACGAGTATGAAGATGAAGAGACGGAATGACGCGAAGGGTCGCGTACGGTTACGAGGCATCTGGACCGTCAGGGCAGACAGCATCAAGCAGCAGCAGTGGTGAGGATTCTACCGGAACTATTCGTAACCGTCTGGAGTCGCACGGTTGGATTTCGCTGCCATAAGGGAATGTACCCCTTAGAGTACATTGCTAGCTAGGTCGTTTGGTATTCCCCTGCAACCTTATTTATACGAATGTATTTGCATGCTTTTATCATCTCAGTCATTTTATATTCACTCTGATCTAGTGCTCTTTCAGATGACCCACCACTACCACACACCCCGCGAACCTTCCTGAGGTGATCCTAGGCACGGTCTATATTCTGATCGCAGCACCTAGAAGACAAAATAGCCCACGCAACACGAAATCCGGAGCAACCACATACACTCGGTTGTTATGCTAAACATTTCCGGTTTTAAGCATAATAGCAAGAAATCAGTGTTACGCTGGTTTGTACTTGCCTCTTTGATGATCGACCAGACAACAGTGCCAGAGGGTCGGTGGGTGAGCACACGAGATCCTACCCGAACCTCCCAGTGTCCGCGCGTCCTTGGAAATATGGTGCCCCCTTTGTGCTTTCTAGTGCTCTTTCAGATGTCCCACTACGGTACAAAATCCGGTGCCCTTTTTTTAGGAGCTTAATCCGAGCGTATGATCAGCTGTATTATCCGAGCGTTCCTGCGTTTCGTCAGCTGTAGATCATGTTTCGATCCAGACAAATCATGTTCGGAGCAAGGCTCTCCTCTGCTTTGCCACTTTCAGGACCCCTTGTTGCATCGCTGGCAACCAGACCTGCTGCGGTGGTCTGTTCCCGGCTAATAGGCCCAGCGCCGTCAGCGCAGCGCAGCACGTCGAAAGACAGGCAAGTGTGATTCTGGTACAAGTACAGTACTGTACGGTTTGTCACTGAATCCCCGCCGCGGGGATCCCCGTCGCCCGCCACCTGTCCACCAGCTTCCCTCCGGCCGAAAGTGCCGCGGCGGTCGGTGCCAGACCAAGTCCCGAAAGTGCCCCTCTGATGAAGCGTCCCGTTCAGGTTCGGGTCGTTCATTTCTGGCGATCATGGGGAGCAGGTGCCGGTCTAGTGGTGCTTGCTGGCCCGGAGTCTTCTCACTAGCCTGGTTCCATGCCGAAGGTCGGTCCCGTCCCATCCCGTGCTGTGTGATAGTACACGCTGTAGATGATGGGACGATGTATATTTCAGGACACCACTTGGTATGCACATCTCATTTCAGAATTGCCTCCTCCGATCGAGGTTACTTCTTCTAGGGCCTCAATCTTCTGGGATCTCACTTCTCAGTCTGCTACCACCAGTACGATACTAGTACTACCAGCATCGCCTCGTCATCGGACCAGTCCCAGATCATGAAGCGCCGCGCGGCAACTCTCCTCGTCGTCCTGCTCTGTAAGCAGTCCTTGTTGTTCCACACCCTTCCTTCGCAAAGGCAGAGTCCGCGGGCCATGCCACGCCACGCCACGAGTCGCTCATGCTGTAACGCCTGCGGGGCTTACATGATGTGCTAAGGGTTGAGTGCCTCCGCTGCGCCTCAAATATAAGGACGTGTTGCAAGTGCAAAAACCGAAAGATCGAGGCGTCTAACCGATCCGGGTTTATGAGCGCGACACGCGACAGTAGATCATCGGCTCGGCTCAGTGTGTGGACCTCGATGTGATCGTTCCCCTTGGTTTTGTATTACGATCGCCTGATAACAGTAGAGTATAGTCGAGGTCATCATGATCGGTGTCGTGACTGTACTGTCGAGGCGATTGAGCGGCGGGCCCTCGCCAGCTTTCTCTGTCCTGCACAGTGCTTGTACTGTAGCATGGTAACCAGACTCTACAGTATTCCGCCACCTCAGGGATTGGTTTAAAGAGCCCCGATCGATAACGTACTTGCAACACGTCCTAACCCTCGTTTTGACCCAGTGGGTATCGAGGCGTTATATTGGTCTCAGAGCCTAGGGTTCGATTCCCGGCTGGCTAGCGAGGCTCCTGCTGCCGCCGTCCGAAGCTACTAGTAGTAGTGGGGTGCGGCGTTTGCCGTTTCTGGCAGTAGATGTATCAAACGGTCACCTCTCGCGGCCCCACGCTCCAGAATTCGATCCCCTCATTCCTGCTTCTCCCTGTCGGCGGCTCACGTATCTGAATTCATGATTCTACCCCCGCCCGCCCATCAGTTGCTGCGGTCTCCATTCTTTCCGCCTCGGCGTCATGGCTCATCCCGCCAACCTTCCGTCTGCACGACGGCAGCGTTTCACCCGGCGCGGCCTCTGCCGCCGCTCAGGCCAAGCCCTTGGTGTGGCAGGGAAAAACAGACAGTAAGTCCGCAGTGGGTTGGCAAAGCCCTTGGCATCTTCATCCAAAAATTGCCATTGTGTCTTGCGCCGTGCCTGAACATGACTCATCGTGTCAGTCGATCATTTGCCCACATGGATATTGAATCATATGCAAACTGTTGCTGTCCAGTATTTGTACATGGTGCTCAAAGCTACCCCGCTGTGGTTTCGTGCCGCCACGGCGTTTCGTGCCATCAAAGTGTGGCACGGCATTTACTACGCAGTGGCGCTACCACTGCTACAACCACTACCACCACTACCACCACTACCACCACCACTACCACCACTACTACCTCTTTATTGACACTATAGTAAATGTACAATGGATACAAGGCAAATCCAGAGACGTAGTGTATGGAGAGACATGCAGGCTAATCCTATTGTGAGGCCTACAAATAGGCCTCTGTGATGTCTCAATGGTCCTCTCCCAAGTAGGCAAAGTCAGCTGCAGAAAGAGAAGTCACCTCGGGTGGTGCGTGGTTGACACCCTCGGTAAAACGAATTTGTGCACGACGACAAACAGTGCGAGCCTGCTCACGTTGATGGACCAGAGAAATCCGTTTGTAGAAGTTGGTCTCAAACAGCTGGGGAAGAGAATCTGTGGCACCACTCAAGTCGCGGAGTTGTGACGCCCCTTTGCGGCTGCATTGGCGAAGGAAGTTGTTGAACGAAGAGCCGAAGCAACCAAAGGTTTCGATGACAAGGGGAAACAGTTTGATGTCTGGACGGTCACGAAGTGCTGCAGCATAGTGGGTGGTCTTCTCACTTTCACGAGTGGCTGCTGCTGAACCAATCACCGTAGCTGCGTTGGAGTGCGGAAACCCCTTTTGTGGATCAGCAACAGAAACATCCAAGGCCCAGGTGGTACCAGAGCTAATATCGCGGCAAGTGATGTCTGTGCGGCGGCCAGGCAGGAGATGCTGGTCTTCCATCTGCGCAGAGAACCCAAGCTCCAAGGCAATGCGATGAACTTCTCGTTTGATTGCGTCGTGCACCTTAGTAGGCTCGTTGTTGCTAGGGCAGCGAAGGACATGAGAATGGATGGAAGGATCGGTGAACGGGGAGTTGCAGGTGCAGGTGAGTGAAGATGAAAGGTGAGGAAGAGGAAGGCCTAAGCGGATAGCTGCTGCAATGCGCCATTCAGTCTCTGAAAGCTGCATGTGCGGGGAGGATGGAGCCACAGTGAGCCAGTCACCTGCATGCGGGCCCTGCAAAGAGGTTAGACGAGCAAGGCGAAGCGGGGACGTTACTGTGGCTCGAACCTTCTCCAGCAAATCGGCTTCGAGGTGTTGGGAGAGATGAGTAAAGAGTTTAGGAGGGTAGCCCGATTGAAGCACAAGCCATGATGGGAAGCGATCACGAATGTCTTGGGGAAGCATGGTCATGGTGGATGAGATTGAAGGGTCGAGGAGGTTAATGGAGTCCGTGGTGACGTAAGGGCGGAAAAGAGGAGCACCATCAGTGATGAAGTGGGTGGATAAGGTCGAAACTGTCTGCGCCCAGCTACAAAGGTAACTGAGGGGGGCGATGGATGCAGAGCTGCGAATGTCGAAGCCACCTAAGCGGATAGGGAGCGAGGCTTGGAGGCGGGCCGATGTGGACTGTTCAGAGGTGGGATTCCAGTACTCAGAGCCCAGGAGCTGAGAGAAGTGGCTGAAAATGGTGCAGTCCCATGAAGAAAGTAGCTCGGGAAAAGGTGCGACAGTTCGGAGGAGGAAAGAAGGTCGGGCAGTGATGCATAAGGAAAGGATCCGTGAGGCAATATGTGGGTCCTGCAGTTGATGCAGTAAGGGGAGGGAGGAAGTGAAAGAATCGAGTTTGTCACGAACTGTAGAGATGATGTAACCGTCGGAGCCGGTAGGAACGCCAGCGACAGTGAGACCGTTTGCAGCGATGGAAATATCCGGGGGCGGAATGCAGTGTTCGGGCAGGTCCATAGGGGCCCATAGAGAGCACTTAGAGGGTTGGACTGTAAGGCCGAGAGAGAGAAGGCGGGAGGTAAGGTCAGTGTATGCGGCAAAGACGTCTGAGGGAGGGCCGACCAAGTAGGTATCGTCTGCGTATGAGGTAATGAAAATTGAGGGAGACTGCTGCTGGGTTGGTTGGATGGCTAGCTGCTGTGTTAGGGCATAAAGGAAAGGGCCACAAGGGTCGCCTTGACGAACACCAGAAGCTGATTGGAATGTGTGGAGAAGGGGGCCGCTGCGGTAGTGGAGAGGTGAAGGGGTGGAGTAGAATAGGCGGAAGAAGGGAATGAGACTGGAGAATGGGGAGCGCCTTAATGCCTCAAACATGGAAACCCGGTTGAACGAGTTGAACGCGTTTGCAACGTCCAGCTGAAGCACCACCCAGTCTGGATGAAGGGAGAAGGCGGAGCACACTGCGTGCGACATAATCTCGATCCCGGCCGGAACTGCTACGCCAAATTGAAGGTGAGGAAGGAATGTCTCTCGCATCTGCTGCTGCTTAAAAAGGAGAGTGATGCGGCGTGAAAGGAGGCGTGGTAGCACTTCCCCAATGGCGATGGGACGTACACCACCATGCGGTTTCTGCAGGGCCACGAGGTTCGAAGCGGTGTAGAAAGGCCTGACTGCGGGCGGAAGGTCACCCTGCAGCCAGTTCTGGAATACGTGGAGGAGAGAAGGGAGATGCTGCTGGTGAGAAAGAAACGTGTCCCTGAGGTGCTCAATGAACCACCCAGAAGGTCCAGCAGCTGTGCCACGGGGGGCGGACTGTAGAGCGGCATGGAGATCAGGGACGGTAAGCTGTGGTGCGGCTGCAGGAGTGAAGGTGTGTACCCAGTCAGGAATCTCTGCTGCAGCAGGTGGGTGCTTGGAGCTGAGGGCAACAACTGTTTCTGATGATGGAGGAGCTAGCTCGCCAGCTTCCAGTGCTGCCAGTGACCGCGACCAATCCCCGCATTTTGCAAACCGCTTCGCACGGTTGAGACGAGCCTGCTGCGCTGTAGAACGTGCTGAAGCCATGTGCAGAGGTCTAGCGGCTGGAGTGGCTGCAGCTACGGCTTCGCTGAAAAGAGAGTGCCAGCCACCAGTGATGAAGCGGCGCGCTAAGGCAGCACATGAAGAGGTAAGGGGCTGTGTGGGAGCAGCGGCAGAAGGTAGGCGCAGTAGGAGACGCGGAAATGCCAAGAGAATGAGGTGTGCAGCGACGTCAGAAGGATGTTGTGCAAGGCGGCGCAGTGGAATGAGAAGTGCATCGAGAATGAGGAGTCGGATGCGGGAGGGGATTCGGCGGAGAATAGGGCCAGGTGAGACTGCCGGGCTGAAGAAGGAAGGCCAATCCCAGGAAGGAACGGCCTCCCAAGTGGCTTGAGGAATTGCAGGTCGATCTGCGGCTGCAGGCGCCGAGGTTGGGGCTGATGAGCGGGGAGGAGGAGGGCGAGCAGCTTGCTGACGTGTGGCGGTGTTGCGAGAGCAGGCTGGAAGGTGACGGGCCAACGAACCTGAGTTGGCAAAGGTGCGTCGACATGTGGGGCAAGAATTAGGAGGTAGTGGGTTATCGGAGGTTGATGAGGGCGGGCAGGGTTGCGGGCATGGCTGCGTAAAGTGAGGGGTAGGGGAAGGAGGAGGGGGATCTCGAGAAGGTGAAGCAACAGTTTCATAGTGTGATAGTGGGTGCGTGTTGTCGGCAGGGGCTGTGGGATTAGGAGCATCTGCTGTAGTCGTCGGTGGAGGTGTTGAGGTAGATGAAGGATGGGCACGGGAAGTCGAGAGCTGAGGGTGAGAGGTTTGAGGCCGTGATGGAGACGGAGAATCAGGAAGGGTGGCTTTAAGGACCTGCTGGAGAATCTCCTTTTGTTTGTCCGAGACAATTTTTGGCGCTGTTGTTGGCTGAGGTTGCTGGGAGGGAGCAGAAGATGATTGAGGCTTAGGAGTAGGGGGTGGTGCAAGGGCTGATGAGGAGGTCGAAAGAATCGCGAAAGCTGGAGTTTGTCGCGAACGGGCAGGCGGACGAGGAGAAGTGGGTTCAGAGTCTTGGGCACCACGGCCCCTTTTGCGGCCTGTCATTCTGTAAGGTATTGGGCTGGTGGCATGCAAAATGATGTTGGAGGTAAAGGAAGCATAAGAAATGAGGTGGAAAGTGTAGTCTTTGTTTCAAGGAAGAAGTTGGTGTAGCGAGGAAGGTCACAAAAAGTGGTTGGGGAGAAGCACAAGCGCGGATGTGAGGTTGGCAAAGTGGCGGGAATTTGGGTTGATGGGGGGAGGCGAAAATGCACGTCGGGGGAAGGGGGTTCGCAAATCTGTTGTTCGTGTAGCAGGAGGTAGAAACTGATGACGGCACCGTGCTGTCCACTGCTGCTCAACACAAAGCTCAAGCCGCGCCGTTGCAAGGAAGATTCCACTCTGCGCCGTGCGCTAATTGCCTGCCAGATAAGCACTAGTTTCGTATCAACGTGCGCCAACACCGACACGGTAGATCCACGATTGTAGTTTCGATCGCCTCTCGCGTCAAGGGTGTCGCGGATTGCTAGCAAGTCGTGGCTCAAATGTACGAGTATAAGAGAAGATGCAAGGTTGCTGATTTCGCCCTTTAGCGGAGAGTAGTGAGCTTAGCAGCTTTACTTGAGCGAGCAGCTTAGCGAACTACTACGAGGAGCGTACTAGCGCTTTTTATAGGAGCTGCAGCGAGCTTGAGTGACAACGAAGCAAACTACTACGAGGAGCGTACTAGCGCTTTTTATAGGAGCTGCAGCGAGCTTGAGTGACAACGAAGCAAACTACTACGAGGAGCGTACTAGCGCTTTTTATAGGAGCTGCAGCGAGCTTGAGTGACAACGGAGCAAACTACTACGTAGAGCGTACTAGCGCTTTTTATAGGAGCTGCAGCGAGCTTGAGTGACAACTGCGCATGCGCCCCTATCTTGCCGTGATTCTCTTTACCAGGGAAGTACCTGGTCAAGATGCGTCCTACTAAGGTCAACGGGAAACTGGTCGGGGACAAGGGTGCATCCGGGAAATATCTCGTGAGGATTGTGAGGTGCGTCCGTGTGCGATTTCTATCCGCTTCTGCTGATTCTACATACACATACCGTATTCCACCCAGGGCTGAGGACGAGACCCTGTGCTTGCTCTTGAGAGCTGGTAGCCCTTTGACTTTTGAGTCAACTCAAAATATGACCTTTGAGTCGACTCGAAAGCCACCAAGGGCTTAGGACGAGACCCTGGTTGCTCTTGAGAGCTGGTAGCCGCCCTTTGAATCCCAACCCAACCTTGCCCACCTTTCTCCTTCCCCCCCCCTCTCCTCCACACCCCTATCGTTTCCAACTCGTAACTCCTCCCTCCTCTCATGATCTCATCCTGTCCTACTCCCGATCATATCCCTCAATGCCCTGTTGGCAGGTACTCAGAAACGGTGTACTATGTTACCACTCTTTTCAATGCCTTGAATTTGAAATCCGGAGGAGCATCCCCTCTCCTTAACTCTGGAAAAGGTTGCAAAGCGGCGACCTCCGCAGGTGGGTTCACATGGACGAACATCACGAGTGACAAGGCTGGTCGGCGGAAACGTTACAGCTTCACGACCAAAGCAAGTTTAGGGCCATTTGATCAGGCTGCTGTACATGGGGGGATTGGTGAACTCATAGGAACAGGCAGCGATTATTTTACAATTGGGCATGTGAATAACGGTAAAGCACTCTGCGGGAAAATGAAGAGATTGGTGTAGGTAGTCGTTAGCTCGCTTTGCTGATCAGCTTTTGGTTCCTTGCTTTAAAGCCCGAGTACAGCATGGTAATTTTCAAGTTCAAGATTCTTGAACTTGAAGTCGCCAAAAACAGGGTTACCCTGCTTGTTTTGAAAAAACTCTCGCGACCCCAGGCAATCGTCCTGCGACAACGGAACCCGAGTGCCCAAAACCAGAACTGACGCGATGATCGCCAACCATATGCTCTGTTCACCACTCACATAACTTGCTTACCAAGTAGTACTCATAGGCTAGGAGGCTCCAAGGCAAAAACTAGCGCTAGTTGGCAAAAGCGAGTCGTTGATAGGCTTTTTTTTTGTGCGGAAAGAAATATAAGTCCACCTCAACCATCTTAGTCAGTGCATGCTCCGATCTCTCCCTCGCGTCACCAGTCTCCGATGTGCTTCCCCCCATCCCCTTCCCTGCTTCCCCTCATCCCCTTCCCTGCTTCCCCCCATCCCCTCCCCCCTCATTCCCCTCCCTGCTTCCCCCCATCCCCTTCCCTGCTACTTCCCATCCCTCCCCCTGCTTCCCCCCATCCCCTTCCCTGCTTCCCCCCATTCCCTTCCCTGCTTCACCCCATCCCCTCCCCTGCTTCCCCCCATCCCCTTCCCTGCTTCCCCCCATCACCTTCCCTGCTTCCCCCCATCCCCTCCCCTGCTTCCCCCCATCCCCCTCCCTGTTTCCCCCCATCCCCTTCCCTTCTTCCCCCCATCCCCTCCCCTGCTTCCTCCCATCCCCTTCCCTGCTTCCCCCCATCCCCTTCCCTGCTTCCCCCCATCCCCCTCCCTGTTTCCCCTCATCCCCTTCCCTGCTTCCCCCCATCCCCTTCCCTGCTTTCCCCCATCCCCTGCCCTGCTTTCCCCCCATCCCCTTCCCTCCTTCCTCCCATCCCCTTCCCTGCTTCCCCCCATCCCCTTCCCTGCTTCCCCCCATCTCCTTCCCTGCTTCCCCCCATCTCCTTCCCTGCTTCCCCCCATCTCCTTCCCTGCTTCCCCCCATCCCCTTCCGTCCTTCCTCCCATCCCCTTCCCTGCTTCCCCCCATCCCCTTCCCTGCTTCCCCCCATCTCCTTCCCTGCTTCCCCCCATCCCCTCCCCTGCTTCCTCCCATCACTCTCATTCTCCTTCCTCCTGCACTCACTCTCTCAGTCCTCTCGCACTCTCTCTCTCTCCGTCCTCTCGCACTCGCACTCTCCTTCCCGCCACCCTCAGCCCTCCTTCCCCTCACCCTCTCCCCTGTTCCCACCTGCCCTCCCCATCCCCGCCTTTCCCTCCCTGCCCTGCCCTTCCCTTCTCCATCCCTTCTCAACCCTTCCCTTTCATGTCATGCCCTCCCCTTCCCCCTCACCTTCCGCCCTCTAGTTCCCATGCATGTGCACCCATCACTGTCTCCCCATACCAGTACATGCTTTCATCATGTGCGCTTGCTTGTGTTCCCCTGCAGTTGTTCCCTTGGCACCTCACACCACCCCCCCCATGTTCCGTCACACAATTCTTTCTGCCTACTCCACTCCCCAAATTTTCAGTGGTGAAGCAGAGGAGCAAGCTGAGGCGCAGCTAGAGCTAGTCCATGCTTTACACCGTACCAGCACCTGTTTCTTGCCTGTTGTATGCAAGCATGATACTGTATTACTGTTGGAGATATCCATCTCAAAAGCACAATATGTAATTTTGTTTCTGCAGTGCAATATATTCTTCCAAGATGCGTGGGCACTAAGAGTGTCAGAAGGGTAGATAGAGGCATGATCCTGATACTTTTGATTGTACCCTTCTCAAGGCCTTGAAAAAAACATGAGGGGAACTGGTTTCTCTACGAGCGTGGCATGGGATGATGGGCTTCGGCGAGTTGCTGTGCCAGAAAATCTTCATTGGTGTCACTGCACTACCCAGGGAGAGGGAGGGAATACGAGGGATGGGGAGGGGGAACAAGACTAAAGTCAAACAGGGGAGATAGGGAAGAGGGGGAAGAGGGAAGCAGGGCTGAGAGGGAAAGAAGGAAGTACCGTAAGAAGAGGGAGGATAGGGAAGAGGGGAGATAGGAAGAGGGGGAGAGGGAAAGTGAGAGATAGGAAGATGAAACGAGGTGAAGACGAGGGGGAAACGAGGGGAAGCAGGGGGGGAAACGAGAGGTAACAGAGGGGGAAATCCTGGGAAGCGGAGGAGGATTCGAGGAGAAGCAGCGGGGGGAAATGAGGGGAAGCAGGGGGGAAATGAGGGGAAGCAGGGGGGAAATGAGGGGAAGCAGGGGGGAAATGAGGGGAAGCAGGTACAAACAGGGAAAGCAGGGAGGGAAATGAGGGGAAGCAAAGGGTGAAATGAGGAGAAGCAGGGAGGGAAATGAGGGGCCAGCAGCGGGGAAAATGAGGGGAAGCGGGGAGGGAAATGAGGTGAAGCAGGGAGGGAAATGAGGTGAAGCAGGGAGGGAAATGAGGTGAAGCAGGGAGGGAAATGAGGTGAAGCAGGGAGGGAAATGAGGTGAAGCAGGGAGGGAAATGAGGTGAAGCAGGGAGGGAAATGAGGTGAAGCAGGGAGGGAAATGAGGTGAAGCAGGGAGGGAAATGAGGTGAAGCAGGGAGGGAAATGTGGTGAAGCACGGAGGGAAATGTGGTGAAGCAGGGAGGGAAATGTGGTGAAGCACGGAGGGAAATGTGGTGAAGCACGGATGAGGGGAAGAAAGGGTGGGCCATGGGCCTAGAGGGCCGTGAGAGAGGGGGGGGGGTGGACTTGAGGGACGGGAGTGGCACGCTGGAGGGGAGCAGGAGAGGAGGAGGGGAGTGGCATGGGGAGCAGAGCAGAGCAGCATTGCGACCTGCCTGCAGCGTCATCCCCCACGGCGGAGATGAGGAAGGGCGCGGCGGAGAGTGCTGCCATGCACTCCGCTATGTTGTGCGCCACCCCCCCTGCGAGGAGGAACAGGGGAATGGCGCGGCTGGCAGAGAGAAAGGAAGGAGGAGGGGGGGAGGGGGAGAGGGGGAGGGGCGGGACACACATGAGAGGTTGAGACATGCCACAGTGGACGACACTCCCCCCTCGAATTCCTTTCTCCTGCCCTCCCTCCCTGCCTCATGCGGGAGGAAGAAAACGGGTGGGGGAAAGGGAGGAAGGGGACAACCATGAGGGGTAGGGGTTGGAAAGGGGCGGGGGCGGGTGGAGGTTTGGCGAGAAGGGGAATAGGAACCAGAGGATAGGGCGCAGAGCATTGGGCGCAGAGCATAGGGCGCAGAGCATAGGGAGCAGAGCATAGGGCGCAGAGCATAGGGCGCAGAGCATAGGGCGCAGAGCATAGGGCGCAGAGCATAGGGCGCAGAGCATAGGGCGCAGAGCATAGGGCGCAGAGCATAGGGCGCAGAGCATAGGGCGCAGAGCGCAGGGCGCAGAGCGCAGGGCGCAGAGCGCAGGGCGCAGAGCGCAGGGCGCAGAGCGCAGGGCGCAGAGCGCAGGGCGCAGAGCGCAGGGCGCAGAGCGCAGGGCGCAGAGCGCAGGGCGCAGAGCGCAGGGCGCAGAGCGTAGGGCGCAGAGCGTAGGGCGCAGAGCGCAGAGCAGAGGGGGCAGAGCGCAGGGGGCGGAGGGGGCAGAGCGCAGGGGGCAGAACGAAGAGCGGAGGGGGCAGAACGCAGAGCGCAGGGGACAGAGCGCAGGGGGCAGAACGCCGGGGGCAGAACACAGAGCGCAGGGGGCAGAGCGCAGAGTGCAGGGGCGCGGAGCACGTGTACCTGTCCTGGCGTGGTGGTGCCTCGTTCCAGCGCCCTCTCCACGCTGCTTGTCGACCAGACCAGTGCGCGCGCTGGACGTTTGCGGGTCGACGCGCTGCTAGACGACCAGTGACGTTTTACGGGAGCAATGCCCCGAAACTGTCGACCTACGTGCTGCCAGTGGTAATCGACGTGCCTAATACAACACGAAGTACTCCCATATCGCGCGATGTCGAGTTCTTCTCAACGCTCCTTCCTGCGACCCAGCATGTACGTGTTCTGGCTCGTCACCTACGTCACCTCCTTCCTGCGGTTATTTCACACGTCAAGTTGTTAGCTTGATTGGTCGTGGTGTTTTTTCTCCTCACTCGTTCTGAGGTTGTTGGTGCTTCCCGTTTTCGTTTTTGCTAGTAGTTGCATTGGGCGAGGATGTTCTCCACTTCTTGATCCTGATTGGTCAAAGAACAATCAGTGCGACACTCCTTCCAGTTGCCCCACACTGCCCTGCAAGTCTGTCAAAGCTTTGCGTTTGGCGAGACCCCATTCCTCCTCGTCAATCAATCGCTTTTTCGCTACACTGACTATGCCGAAATAATTGTTTTTCAGGTTTCGCCAACACTATTTCAAACCCACATAACTTGATAAAACACCATGTGGTACTCGGGCTTTAAGGTTCCGAGGGTGCAACAAATATAGTGACAAATTATGGTTGACTTTTTTTTTTTTTTTTTTTTCGCGAAGGGGTACTTTGGTAGTGGTCTTGGGACCTAGGGTTTGGTGCTCCACCAAACCATCCCATCTCTCCACTTGTCTAAGTACAGAAGCAGATGATGCATGATAAAAGCTCCAACACCCTGGAAGTTGGTTGGAGATGGAAAGAGGATAGAGAGAAAAGGAGAGAGAGAGATGAAAGGGAAGGGAAAAGGAAATGGAAATGGATAAGCCCCACAAGCACAACCAAGAGGGAACCCCATCAAGACACCCCATCGAAGCACCCTAACTAAACCCCCCCCCGACTCCCCCCCCCCCCAACGCCCCTCAAACCGGGGCGGACACCAAGTACTGAGCCTCCACCCACAGTGCTCCCCCCACAGTGCTCCCCCCATCTCCTCAATGTCCTCCCCCTCCCTGTCCACCAAATCGATATCTGCTCCTCCCATAGACGATGCAGCGCGAAGCAGGATGACCCGAGCCTGCGCACGCTGCAAGGCCACCCCAATCATAGCCTTCAAGGATCCCATGAGATAAGAGGAAAATGACTGATCATCCTCCCGACATGCCCCCCTCGAAACCGCAAGCCCGAAATGTGCATGGTTGACTTTTGGTGGTTTGACTTCTGTCTCACTCAGCGTGCAATTGTGAAGTTGACAGGTGGCTCCTATGCTCCCCTTGTGCAGAATCTAGGCAAGGGCGCACTAGTGTGGCAATTGTGTTCAACCTAATCTTCCTGTTTGTTTAGGGTTTAGGGTTCAATTATCTTCATTAGGTTTGTGATGAGTACCACACTATGCTAGAATCAAACATTGTCTAACAGTATTGCGCCATTAAACACCATCAGCTGCTACATTCACTAGGGTTTAGGGTATTGAAGCATCTAGGACCAGGAAACTGCGCGCGGAAGCTTGGCTCCACGACTCAGAACCTGGAACTGCTCGCTTGAGCCACAAGCCCCCTTGATGCATGCCCCCTTAAAACCACCCACACGTTCTTTTGTCTCTGCAAGTTCCCCTCTAAAGCCACACACGCTCCTGTTATTGCCGTTTGATGCACAAGTCTTGGATGCAGCGCTGTTCAAGCTACTCTTGGCCTGCATCAGGATGGGAAGGGGCAAGGGAGGAGAGGGAAAGGGGGGAGGAAAGGGGGATAAGGGGAGGAGGGGCAGGGGAAGGAAGGGAGGGGGGACGGGTGAGGCGGCAGGGGGGAGCTATTGACGCATTAGCTCAATAAACCCTGAACGTCTGAGAGCTGGGACGGTCGAGTCAAGAGTGGCAATACCGTAGTATGAGGCGAGCTTACCTCTAGCCTTTAATGCTCGCCTTTTATAGCCTGCGCAACGCGCCATTCAATGCAATGAAAGAAGAAGAACAGAGACAATTAGCGGGTCGATCGAAATGCTTCACCCAAGAAGTACGGTACGGTACTAATCACGAGGACTCCACTAGGACGCCAATAGGACGCAAGTGAGAGTCTGAGAGATTTGACACACCAATCGCGACTTCACTCACACGCAGCGAATGTTCCTTGCTTAGCAGAGACGGGAGCAGGTAACGGACAAGATGCACATGAGATGAGACACGTGGGTCAGCTGGGTCGTGTTTTGAGTCGACTCAAAACACGACTCAGTACACGCAGAGACGGGAGCAGGTAACGGACAAGATGCACATGAGATGAGACACGTGGGTCAGCTGGGTCGTGTTTTGAGTCGACTCAAAACACGACTCAGTACACGCAGAGACGGGAGCAGGTAACGGACAAGATGCACATGAGATGAGACACGTGGGTCAACTGGGTCACATCACATCACATGGGACCAGGTAAACAGCTGAGTCCGCTGGATGGTTGAAGAAGGCAGGTAGCTTTAGCGGTCTTCTCCACATGGGATGGGACCAGGTACATTTACCTCTTTGAGGCGGCTGTTGTCTTGTCTGAGCCTCACAATCTCCGCTTCTAGCTCCACTGTGTACGCCTGATGGTGGGGAGGGAGGGGGGAGAGGGAGAGGGAGAGGGAGAGGGAGAGGGAGAGGGAGAGGGAGAGGGAGAGGGAGAGAGAGCGAGAGAAAGAGAAGGATAGGGGTTGTGGGCGGGTGGGGGGGGTGTGGGGGAGGGAACACGGACTCTTGTGTGAGTCTCACAATCTCCGCTTCTAGCTCCACTGTGTATGCCTGATGGGGGGGAGGGAGGGGGGAACACACAGACAGACACACATGGACAGAAATAAGGCGTTGGGAGTAGGGGATAGAGGGCTGACGCAGCATGAAGCAGCATGGATGGGCGGGAGAGCAGAGCATTCCGCTGCAGCACTGCCTGATGGCAATAGCAAATGGGGGAGCTCATAAGGGCAAGCTCTCTCTCTCGCCCATACCTCCTTTCTCGCCCATTCCTGCTATCTCCGCCGTACCTGCTTTCTCGCTCGGGACCTAGCAGCAGACTCCCGGTTCTTGATCATCCTCTGCTGTCGCCTCTCCACAACATCCCCTCCCGCCCCTCCCGTCCCTCCCACCCCTCCCGCCCCTTCTCCAGGCCATATCGTTCCACCTGTGCTGTCCAATACCCCGATCCCCATCCCTGTTCCCGTTCCCATTTCCCCCCCCACTGCAACCCCACCCTCCTCCATCTGCTGCCAATTCCTCTTTATCCCCACCCTCACTCCTCCCATGCCTGCCCCACTCACACCCTCTCCTCCTATTCCTCCTCCTCCTCTCCGTATGCCTGCCTTTCTCTCCCACAGTTGATAATCCCAACCCCCATCCCCCTCGTTCTCTCCTACACCAGCTGCAGCACTGGCAGAAAAAAGACTCATGTGTCCCCCGTCCGAAGGGGAGTGAGGGGAAATTGGATACGGCAAGTGCTGATGCGCGTGCTTCTGCTGCTTCTGCTGCTTCTGCTGCTGCTGCGGCTGCTGCTGCTTCTGCTGCTGAGGATGGTGGTGGTAGTGGGAGGGGTGGTGCTGGAGGGATAGTGGTGGTGCTGCGGATAGTGGTGCTGCGCTTGAGAGGAAATCAGGCAGGAGAGAGTTGACAGTGGGGCATGCCCTTTCTGCCGAACCTGCCAGACCCGCCAAACCTGCCGGACCTGCCAGGCTCGGTGCTTGCAGGCTCGGTGCTTGCAGAATTGATGAAGGGGGTGCTGGTGATGCTGGTTTCAAAGTAGGAGGGGCGGAGTGTGGGAGACCAGATAGAGGTGGCAAGTGGGCGACTATAGCAGAGTAAGGGTCGGTCATTGCAGTATGGGGTAAATCAGCGGACATGAGGGGAAGCGCTGTCGTGGCTGAGTGGGTGGCTGGGGTTGGTGTTGGTATGCCGGCCAGGGATGATAGATGCAAGGGGGAAGGGAGAGACGGCGTGAAAGGGGTGGTGGCAGGGGGAGGGGCGGAATGGGGAGCAGAAGCGAGAGCGGATGGGAGGGAGTTGAGAGGAGGGTTGGAAGCTGGAGGAAAGGTGGAAGCGAGAGGAGTGCTTGGGGTTGAGACCTTTGCTTCTGTTGCCAAATCCCCCAAAGTATAAGCAGCTGCAGCAGCAGCAGAAGAAGCAGCAGCAGCGGTGGCAACAGTGGTGGCTGTGACAGGGGCGGTGGTAACAGTGCCGATGGTAGCAGGGGCTGCGGCAATAATAGGAGCGGCGGAAGCAGGAGCGGCGGAAGCAGGAGCGGTGGTAACAGGGGCGGAGGTGGTGATTGTGGGTGCTGAATCCAGCAACGGAGGCAAGCCACAGGCCCTCACTGCTCGCTTCAGCACATGCGGTGCTCTCTCTACCTCCACTTTCCCCACCTGCTCCCTTTTCTGCTGCTGCTGCTGCTGCTGCTGTGTTATGGCTGTGGTGGTGGTGGCAGCAGTGGTATGGGCGGAGGAGAGAGGGAAGAAGGGCGATTCCGCGGTTTTGAGCGGTTCTGCTAGGTGGGGAGGAGTTGGCGATGGTTGCATGCGCATGCGGTGCTGCGCGTGGTTTTGAATGTGGTTCAGAGCGGTGCTGATTGGGTTTTCGGTTGTGAGGGAGGGAGGCGAGAGAGGGTTGAGAAGAGCAGACACGAGCAGTCGGCGTGTGTGGGAGGGAAGGTAGGAGGGAGAGGAGGGGGAGGAGGAGGAGGAAGGGTGTGGTGGGAGGAGGGAGTGGAGTGCGGGAAAGGATGGAGAGGCAGGAGGAGAAAGAGAAGGATGGGAGGGCATGGAGTGGTGGGGTTGATGGGAATGGGGGGGATGGAGATACCCCTGTTGCTGAAGTGACTGCTGCTGCTGCTGCTGCTGCTGCTGCTGCTGCTGCTGCTGCTGCTGCTGCTGCTGCTGCTGCTGCTGCTGCTGCTGCTGCTGCTGCTGCTGCTGCTGCTGCTGCTGCTGCTGCTGCTGCTGCTGCTGCTGCTGCTGCTGCTGCTGCCGATGCTGCTGCTGCTGCTGCTGCTGCTGATGGTGTTGATGATGCTGATACTGCTGCTGCTGCATTTTATGTGGTTGTGGTGGTGGCTGCTGTGGTTGTTGCATGAGCACGTCGATAGCAGCTTGCAGCGACGCTGCTGGCACGGATGCTGCTAGCTGGTTCACCAAGGCTGCTCTTGCCGCCGCCGCTGCCGCTGCTTCGGATTCCAATTGCGCTTCGATTGCAGTGGCAGATTCTGAACGTGCTACTGCTGCTGTTGCTGCTGCTCCTGCTGCTGTTGCTGGCTCTGGAAATTCAGGAACATGAGTCGCTGCCGCCGGTGCTGCTGGTTCTGCTGCAGCAACAGCTGCTGCTGCGGCAGGTCCTGATGGGTCAGGTTGAGCACATGCCATGCTATCATGAAACACTGTGGTAGGCTGACGCTGACCCACATCTGCACATGCACCAGGAGCGTCACCAGCACACTCAGCAGCAGCAACAGCAGGAGCAGGAGCAGGGGCAGGGGCAGGGGCGGGAGCAGCAGCATCAGCAGGGGAAGGGGAAGGAAGAAGCTCCCTCCTCGCGCGCTTCACCGCACCTCCTTCCTCTTCCCACGCATCAGCCACTTTAGTACTAGTCCCTCTCCCCTCCTCCCCATTCACACTGTCATCAGCAGCTGTCAGCTGCAAAAGCACTTGCTCTAGATCAACGGCCCCCCCATTCCTTCCGTCTCCCTCACCCCCTACATCTCCCCCACCTTCTTTTCCCCTGTCAACCCCCTCAACCCCCTCACCCCCCTCACCCCCTTCCAGCCTCTCACCCGCCTCTTCCGCCATCCTCCTGCTTGCATCCGCGGGACGAAACGCCTCCCTAGCATCATTACCGTGACGATCAGCAGTGCCGTCGTTGGCACTCACCGCGTCGGCACTTCCAGGGGCACAGCCAGTGCGGTTCTGCTCGGTGAAAGCTACAGTGAGAGGTCTGCTGCTGGGTGCACAGGCAGCAGTACCAGCAGAACCAACAGTACTGTCAGCAACAGCACCAGCAGCACCAGCAGCGGCAGCAGCGGCAGCAGTACCAGCAGAAAGAGCGGAACCAGGAGCTTTCACCGCTCTTGAGGCAGTGTCGTCGCCACCAGCAGCAGCACAAGGAGCAGCATCCGCGGGAATGACTTCACAGGATTGTTGAACCGTTCCTCCATGTACCAATTGAAAAGGTAAGTTTCGACCGTTGGATTGCCGTACAGGCACTGGTACATTCACAGGTTCGGATACATCCTTACGGAATCCCCTTTGCAAAGGGAGCAAAAGGCAACCCTCCGTCTCCTCACACCCCTGCGCCCCCTGCAGGTCCTGCGGCGGCCTCTCAGGCTCTCCCCCCCCCCGCTTCGCCTCCACCGCCGCCTCAGCTTCAGCCGCGCCTATGCCAGCAGTGCTGGCTGCCGTGGGGTCTGCCTCGCGGGTTGCGGTATCATCCCGTGCTGAAACCAGCACGTTGAAGAGCATTTGGGGCATCCCGGGATCCTCAAGAGCAGCATCGCGTGCCGCGCCCATGGTGCTGTCTCGTGCTTCCTCGTTGACGGACGACGTCGTTATCAGACCCGCAGGCCGTGCCGTGGTTGCAGGAGGAGGAGATGGGTCAGGAGCAGGAGCGGGAGCGGGAGCGTCACCGGCGGCAGAAACATCAGGAGAGGCGACAGCAGGAGAAGCTGCAGAGGCAGCATCGGTAGAAGCAGCACCGGTAGCAACGGCCGCAGCAGCACCGCCAGCAGTGGCGCCATTGCTGAAACTGTTGAACCTGGAGAGGGTACCATCAGCGCCGAACGCGGCGGGAGAAGGCAGCGCGGAAGGAGAGATTAAAGACGTTTGCGGCAGGTCCGCCAGGGAAAACGAGTAGAGCGACGGCTGACGTGTCAGCATGTGATAGGTCTCGAGCGACGCGGAGTCTACTCGCAGCAGCCACGGCATGAACGGCGCAACAGACGGCGGGGAGGGGAAGACAGAGGGCGGCACGGATAACACGGCGGAAGGCACGGGCGCGGAAGGCGCGGATGAGGGGAGAGGCGCTGCGGCAGACCCCTCCGACGAGCGGAGAAAGCATTCCGTGGCGGGGCATGCTGGGCGGGATGTGGTGGAAGGGGGAGCAGTGGCGGAGAGAGGAGGTGCTGCCGCAGATTCCGCCGCCTCTCGCGGAGGCACGATTATCTCCGGTGTTTCCGCGGGGGCTGCCGCATCTGCTATGGCCGCAACTTCCGGCCCCCCAGAGGAGACGACGCGAGATTCCGCAATAGCTCGGGCCGCATCCGCGAATTTTCCCGCCACTGCTTCCGCCGCTTCCGCCACGAGCGGCCCTGGCGGCGAATAACCTCCAAGGTTCGGCGCGTGAAAAGGCTGCGGCGGTGCGGCAAGACCGTAGCATGCAGATGTTCCTGCTGCTCCTTTTTCTGCTGCTGCAGCTGCAGCTGCTGAGGAGGCTTGTTTCTTGATATCGCCACGTGCCGTGTCGATATCTCGCGCGGAGCCAGCCATGACATGCGTCGCTCTTTAAACTCGAGCGAGCTTTTCTAAAAAGGACGAGAGGGGGGCCGCACCATATGATGACACTAGACCTACGCGGAAGTAATACTACTAGGAAGAACCACTACTCGTCCCACTACTACTACTGGTGGAACCAAGTGATAGTACTACGTGTGGCACGCAGCACCTACTGGCAAGTTTGACACAACTAGCTGCGCAAAGTTTGCCTGCTTGATATTCTCGGGGGAGAAAACAAGAACGCCAGTTCAACTTAGGAAAGCAGGAAATGAAAATGGTACCTCTGGCTGCGTATTGTCTGGAACCTCTGGTTCCTTCGTCCACGTTCGAAGAATAAAAGAATGGGAGGGATGTGTGTTGAAAGTGGGCGGAAGGGCGAAACAAGCATTGCCGACATTCGCTGAAGTGTTTCAGATCGGGTTACAGGGGCTGAATACGCAGGGCGAACACTTACGAGAAAGTGCATTGTTTTCGCACGGCATTGTGCCTGCTTGTTTGCATGCAGGCGGAAGGGGAGGGGAGTTTGCGTGGCGCGCTTGCTGCATCCCCCTCAAACCTACACGACGCGGGGCGCGGTCAGCCTGCCCTGCCCTACCTCGGGGAAATCGCCCCTGCATCTTTGATTTTTTTCCCCCTTTCCCAGTCAAATTGTTGACACCATCCCATCCCTCCCAGCCTCACATCCAAACCAACGATTTGCTGCCGCGCCGCCATCGAGAAGTTGCTCCGCGCCGACGATACGGCCAATTTGCACTTCCGCATTCCGCCAAACGATTTGACGGAATGAAGCAGCCAGTCGCCGCCAATAGGAGGCTGGAAATGTTTGATGTGCCCACGCGAATGTGCGCCTGCATCGCAAACGCTTCGTCGAATACTGTCCGCGACTTCGGTCAAAGCATCGCATAGAATTCGGAACGTGTGCGACTAGCTGTTCGGGCTCTACGAGAGACAGCACCGTCCGATGACAGCCGGCCATCTGTCACCGCCCAGCTGCCACAAAAAAACGCCAATATTGTAAATAAATGCGTTTGTGACCCATTTCATTACTGTGTACGATATGACGTCACAGCTCATGTAGAAACCGCTAATTCAGTAATTGGGAAACGAAATCACTACATACTCATGTTCCATAAAATTCCTATGGGAAATGTCGTAACATAAGATCTGTACCCCTAACCTGGGATTTACTATACGATAGCATGAACTCCAGCACTAGCATCCGATTCAATCCTTCTTTTCGATAACTTCTCCTCTGCACAATACAAGCCCGCCTCGAACCCAGCTGTTCACAACTATTTCTCCGCTAAAGACCCAGATCCTAGATTTCACTCTTATTCCCCCCCCCAGATCGAGCGTGCCTTCCATCTTTCGACTTCTTCAAGCCCTATCGACTAATCCGCATCGCCTCCGCGCCGCTCCGCCGTAATCGCGGCTCGGATCACCGCGGTACGGGGGGACCGATGTACTCGCAGCACCACGGCGGCCCGGCCGGCGGCGGCGGCGGGAGCAGCGGCGGCAGGGGCGGAGCAGGCGGCGTGCTGGCGGGGTGGCGCAGCTGGTGGGTGACGCGGCGCTTCAAGGCGTCCGTGCTCGACCCCACGCTCGCCATCTTCCGCGGGTGAGCGTGAGGGTGAGCGTGAGGGTGAGCGTGAGGGTGAGCGGACTTGAGGGTGAGGGTGAGCGTGAGGGTGAGAGCGGGAGTGAGAGTGAGAATGAACGCCTACGAGAGCTGCCGTCGTTTGGTAGAAAATAGGTCGAATTTCAGTCGAATCGCGGTCGAATCTTTGTAGGCTTGATTGATGCCCCGACGGCTTTCCGTCGAGGTCTGGATCGAGTCTCGCGACTCGACGTTGCGTCTCAGTTAAAGCCACAGCAGGATTTTCCAGCAGCAGCTAGGAATTACGGCCTTTGTGTTTCTTTCCTCCACGTCCCCCTTTCACCGTTCCCCCCCTTCCTCCCCGCCACCCCCGCTCACCCCAGCCTTCACCCCTCCTCCCCCTCCCCCTCCCCATCCCCCTCCCCCTCCCCCTCCCCCTCCCCCTCCTTCCCCCCTTCCCCCCCCCCCTCCCCCTCCCCCTCCCCCTCCCCCTCCCCCTCCCCCTCCCCCTCCCCCTCCCCCTCCCCCTCCCCCTCCCCCTCCCCCTCCCCCTCCCCCTCCCCCTCCCTCTCCCTCTTCCCCAACCCGCAATTCCCCTTGCGCCATCATCAGCGGGGTTCCGCCAAAGCAGCTCGCCTTCTCGCTTGCAGCAGGCTTCACTGCCGGCCTCTTCCCCCTCTGTGGTGGGTCCACACTCCACTGCACTCCACTGCACTCCACTGCACTCCACTGCACTCCACTGCACTCCACTGCACTCCACTCCTCTCGACTGCACTCTGATGCGCCTCACCTCAACATCACTAACGACCCTCTTCTCCCCCCCCCCTCCCCCCACCCCCCTCCCTTCTCTCTCTTCTCCCTTCTCTCCCTTTCCTCTCTTCTCCTTCTATTCCCCTCTTCTCCTTCTATTCCCCTCTGGTGAGTGAGATACTTTTCAGGGATTCCTTTTGCTGATCACTTCCGTAAAGGCTTCGCCTTTTGTTGATTGTTTGAACCTTCCCTTTTCTCGCTCTCTCTTTCTCACTCTCTCCCCGCCCTTCGCTCCCTCACTTTTACTCTCGCACACTCACTCACACTCACTCTCACTCTCACTCACTCACTCACTCACTCTCACTCTCACTCACTCACATGCACTGCCCCTCTGGCAGGTCTCACAGCAGTACTGTGCACGGCAGTTGCATTCCTACTCTGTTCGCCCGTCCGTGCATGATTGCCGCTACCTTCCTCGCCACATCCTTTTTGAATCCACTCAAAACCCCTCTCACACTCACTCATTTTCCCTCTCACTCTTGCGCACTCTCCCCCTCTGCCAGGTCTCACAGCAGTGCTGTGCACAGCGGTGGCGTTCCTACTCGGTGCATCCGCCCATGCCCCATCCATGATGGCAGCTACCTTCCTCGCCACACCCTTCGAACTCAGGTGCGAATGCGAATGTCTTTTCCGGTGGGACAGCAGCAGCTCCCAGGTGGGTGGGATGGGATGGGATGACAACTGTCGTGGTATGATCATTTTTTGCTGATCTGGACAATATCGTATGATCATTCCCTCCCTGCCTGCCCACCCCGGACTGGGTGTTTTCGCTCACCTTGAATCGTATTCCAGCACCCTTCTCCACCCCTCCCCACCGCTCTCGCCAGCCTCATCATCCCGTACATGCGGCTGGGCGAGTTTATATTCCAAGCGGACCGCCTCTCTGTGTCGCCATCAGCGCTGGTTGGCGCGCTCACAGGGAAATCCTCCTCCCGCCTGCTCATGGGTCTCGTGCATGCGGTCGGTTGCTCTTACTCTCACCCTTCTTCTTTTGCTTCTGCTGCTGCTGCTGCTGCCGCCGCTGCAGCCGCCGCCGCTGCCGCCGCCGATGCTGCTGCTGCTGCTGCTGCTGCTGCTGCTGCTTCTTTCACGATTCATTTCCTTTGTTGTATCGCCAGATTCTCGCAACTCGGTTTGTTCCCACGCATTCTTCTCACCCTCTTTCTTGCATCTCCCATGTACAGATATTGCAATTCGGATTCCTGGTATCCCTCTGTTGTATTTCCCTCCTCATTAATCCTCCCTCGTCTCCCAAGTTGTTGCATGTCTCATCACCGCGGCCTTGGTCACCTGGATACTCTACCGCATGCATTGAGGTGGAGCCTCAAAAAGATCATCCTTGTCATTCCTCCTCCCTCCTCTCCACAGGTGGTTGCATGGCTCATCACCTCTCCCTTTGTCACGTGGATACTCTACCGCTTGCTGCTCCCACTCACCACGCGCATCAAGAGGCGAACGGGGGGTGTTGGAATCGGGAGCTCGTGGGAAGGCAGCGAGGGAGGGTCCATCAGCATTGATTCGGGAAGGGGGTACAGTGAAGCAAGTGCGTCTGGACGAAGAGAATCGGGCGTAATGATGAGAAGGGCTTGATGTGGAGAGATTTGATTTGATGTTGTACTGTACCTTGATTTTGCTGCTGCAGCGTTTTGTGGGGCCATGTTTGATTGATTTGTTCTTTGTTAGCAGATGTATTGCGTGCAATGCGGATTCTTTCACCATGTTTGCTACGATGTCCTACGCTTCTAATTGGAATGGAGCTATGGCTTACCCAGCTGACACCAAGCTATGGTAGCCAATCCAATTTCGGTGAGGTAATATTATGGTTCACATCAGCTGTTTCCAAGCATCTTAGAACTTCTTCTTGGCCTGATCTCAAGCCAAAGGTCAAGCAAGTGGTGGTGTGTTCATCGCCATGTGTAAGGATATTTCCTTTATCCTTACCGAGGTTGACTGCTACGCGTACAACCCCGATTTTCGGACCTCGCACGTTCGGCCGACATCAACGATGCCGAGGCTCCTCTGCGTCGCCTTCGGCTTTCCGTCGCCAAACCTGCACCCAACCTCGTTTCCTGAGGTTCCCTCCTAGCTAGGGTAGTCACTATATAGTCGCGTACTTTCATTGTAATCGACAGTTCATGAAGTCACAGCTTCGTTATTCGTTATTCCGCGCACTCTCCATTACAACTCATAACACCTGGTATCAGAGCTACTTTCGTAGTTCACCCCGCTTTTCGAGGGTAGTTTGGTGGCACGGGTTGGCTGGTAAAGTGGACTGCAAAACGGTTGGCTGCAAGGTTAGTTAACTCTAACCTGCCCGACTCCGACAGTTTTTGCTTTTCTCTTGCCTGAAGGCCACGGATACCCCTCTGCCCACCAGACGAAGCGTGCGACTCATGGACCAGGAAGCGTTGAACAAGATGATGGCGCAAATGCAGGAGCTACAGGCAACAGTGCAGAGCCTTTCGGCAGAAGTGACAACACTACGTGTGGAAAACACCGAGCTACGCCAGACGCGAGGTGAAGCGCGTCAGGAGTCGCCCGATGAAGAAGGTGAAGGCAACAGTCAAGCGATGAGCAATCCGTTGGACGCGCTCACACGTGGCTTCGAAGAGGAAGACAGGCAGTGAGCGGCAGCGACGCCAGTTGCAGTTGTCAGAATCCCAAGCAGAAGTTTAGAATAGGAAAGAGGAGGTTGCACTAGCAGCAAATAGGATACTGTCAAATGTAATTCTATGCTTGTAGGCTACAGTGAGTAGCACAATAGGGAGTACAGTTGTTAGGGTTGCATATTTGTACTTCCACACTTTCTAGTTTCATCATTCCGTTGCATTCCTATTCTGAGATGGTATCACGAGTAGGTTAGATCCTCGTTCGTTTTTTAGCTAGCCTCCGCGCCCAACGCGCCCTCCGTGCTCTCGCGCCCTCCGCGCCCTCCGCGCCCTCCGCGCCCTCCTCGCCCCTAGCTCGCGCCCTCCCGCGCTGTCCAGCCTGTCGCGCGCCCTCCTTAGACCTCCGCGCGCCCTCCCCCACCGTTGCGCGCCCTCCAAAACCGTCGTGCGCCCTCCTTAGACCGCCGCGCGCCCTCCTCAACCGTCGCGCGCCCTCCTCAACCGCCGCGCGCCCTCCTCAACCGTCGCGCGCCCTCCTTAGACCGTCGCGTGCCCTCCCCTCCGCCTGTCGCGCGCCCTCCTCCGTCATCGCTTCCCGCACACCTGCGTGCGCTTCCCGCACACCTGCGTGCACTTACCACACACCTGCGTGCACTCACCGCACACCTGCGTGCGCTTACTGCACACCTGCGTACACTTACCGCACACCTGCGTGCGCTTACCGCACACCTGCGTACACTTACCGCATCACTCTGTGCGCTTACTGCATCTCTCTCCCCTTCACCTGTGCACCGGTCCCACGCCATTCCTACTGCACTTGGCTCCCGGCTCAGCGGCTGGCAGCCGCTCTTCCCTCCGGTAGCGCCACCTAGGTTCGGTTAGAGCCCCGCCCCACGACTATTTTCTCGCCGACTGTCTCTCGTCGTTTTCCCCGCTGGCGTCCCTAGCCCTCCGTAGTTTTCCTCCTCGTTCTTAGCTTCGCCTCCGCCGTGCTCCAGTCGCCTCTAGCATGGGCTCCGCTATGGAGGCCCGTCGCCTCCGTTTCGATGCTGAGGGACGCCCGATCGAGTTCGGTACCTGGCAGCGCTAGACCACACGTTTCCTCACCAGCCAGCGTCAGGACGGCGCCACTCTGTGGGCGCACGCGTCGGGTGCTCTCGCGGCACCCCTGTCCCCCGCCGCCCTGCCGACCGCCCCGGAGCCGACTCCTACGGCCCAGGCGGACTACGACCGTCGGGTCCTGGCTCGGGACGGGTGGCTCTCTCGTGACGCGGCCGCCGCCCTCACGCTATCGGAGCTTCTCCCCCCGACTGAGGCCGCTCACTTTGACCAGGTGGAGACAGCCAAGGGGGTTTGGGATGCTATTGTGGCTCGCTATTCCACCCCCTCCTCCGCCTCCCTCAGTCGCCTCCTCATGCCGTTCGTGTTTCCCGACCTAGGCTCGTTTGCGACTGTTTCCGACCTAGTGACTCACCTCCGCTCGCTTGACGCCGGTTTTCGTTCGGCCTGTACCGACGCATAGCTCCTTGTTGCTCTCCCCCCCATGTGGCTCACTGTGCACTGGTTAGTCACCCGCCTCCTTGACCGCCTTGCCACTGCCCGCGACGCGCTTCTTCAGAAGCACCCCACTGAACTCACTATAGACCTCCTTCAGACTGCTCTCGGGACCATCGAGAGCAGCCTCCTCACCGTTGCCTCCGCCACTGATGCGGTGGCCCCCCGTCTCTTTGCGGGGTGTGCCGCCCCTCAGCTTCCCACTTTCACCGCTACCCGCGCTTCTGTTGCTGTGTCGGTCTCTGAGGACACCGCTGCCATTTCTGCCGCAGACTGGCAGAAACGGGGCAAGAGTGGCAAGAAGGGCGGGAAGGGGGGAGGTGGGGGCGGAGGAGGTGGCGGTGGAGGGGGCGGTGGTGGTGGAGGCGGCGGCGGCGGCGGCGGCGGTGGTGCACCAGGGGGAGGGGGCCTTGGAGGAGGCGCAGGACAGACAGGTCCACCCACAGGTGGTGGCCCGACCGGTGGGGGTGCTGCCCCCCAGCATCAGCAGCCACAGCAGCACCAGCCACAGCAGGGACAGCAGCAGCAGCAGGGACAGCAGCACCAGCAGGCGCCGCAGCAGTTCCAGCAGTGGGGGCCCCCGCTGCAGTGGGGTCCGCAGCAGCACTGGGGTCCCCCGCCGCAGTGGGGTCCGGGAGGCCCTGGGAGCACCGGCCGCAGCAGCAGCTCTTCCAGCTGGGCCCCTCGCCCCCCTCGTCGTGACGCTGGCCTGTGCACCCACTGGTGCCTCACCGGGCCGGGCAGCCCCTGTCTCTGTGGTCGCGGCGACCACTCTGCCGCACGGTGCTTCCGCCGCCTCGACGACCTCTACCGGGCTCGTTGGGGCCCTCTGGCGGTCACGCCTCGCTAGTCTCGTCTGTTAACCCGTAAGATTGATGTCTTTGATCTGTCCATGGACGATGCGCGTCAGCATGCTTTGTATGTTAATGTTGACTTTAGTGCTGAGGGATCTGTGTGCTCGCGTGTTCGTAGTTTAGCCTGCTTGCCTCCTGCTAGTGTAGCCTTGTGCCTGTCTAGCTTAGGTGCTTGTGTTGCTGCTCTAGGTGCTTGTGTAGCGACTGGGTCAGGTGACCCTCCGGCTGAGGCCTCTCTGTCGTTCACGCTGGACTCGGGCGCGTCTTAGTGCTTCTTCCGCGACCACACGACCCTTACGCCACTCCTCACTCCTGTGTCAGTGGCTCTGGCTGATCCTACCTCTGAACCAGCCATTGCGCGTAGCTCCACCACCCTCCCGTGCCCTGTGGTCCCCTCTGGTGTCCTGCGCGGCCTCCACATCCCCTCGTTCACTCGGAACTTGGTGGGTGTTGGATACCTCCAGGACAGGGGGATCACGGTTACCTTCGTGGGGGGTGGGCGGACTGCAGTCTGTACAGACGCTACCACAGGTGCTGTTCTGGCCACGTTCACCAGGGAGCCCCGCTCCGGTCTCTACGTTCTCCACACCGAGCGCTCCCCGATCGCGTCCTCCCCTCAGGTCGTTGCGTCCCCTCCGGCCCAGGTCCCCAGTCCAGTTGCTGTGTCTAGCCAGGTAGTCGTGTCCGGTCCGGGCGCTGTGTCCAGTCCAGTCGCTGCGTCTTGCTCCTGTCGCTCTCTCACCCACCGCACCGTCCTGTGGCACCACCGCCTTGGCCACCCGTCGATCCCTCGCCTTCGTGGCATGCTCGGTCAGGGACTTGTCACAGGTCTCCCACGCACCTTCCCGTCGCTCCCTCCCTCGCTTGCCCCTCCTTGCTCTCCGTGCGTCGCCGGTCGCTTACGCGCCACTCCCCACTCCTCCCTTCATCCGGCCACCGCTCCCTTCGAGACTCTCCACTTGGACGTCTGGGGCCCTGCCCCGACGCAGGGGTCTGGGAGGGAGCTTTACTTTCTGGTGGTCGTCGACGACTTCTCCAGGTACACCACCGTGTTCCCTCTTGCGAAGAAGTCCGAGGTGACTGCTACGCTGATCAGGTGGCTTCTAGCCACTGAGGGCACTCGTGGTCGTCGAGTCAGTTGTCTCCACTCCGACCGTGGGGGCGAGTTTCGCTCCGGCATTCTCGGCGGATTCTGCGGCGAACAGGGCATCACCCAGTCC